GTCATATTTACATTTACTGCAGGTTGAATTCCACATAATTTGTAATGCTAGCAATTTAGTTTATACAGTCTAATAAAAAATGAGCAATATTTTCAGGTGAACATTTATGATTGTTCCTGAGCTGTTAGATTTAGTGTCCATTGTTGGACTGGCATGTGGAAGTGGAAACTGTTAATAACTCTCCGGTGTCTGAAAGCAAGCACACGCTGTTGCCTTGTGTATGTAAGACACGGCTTTTCTGACTGCCTGTGAAGTGTGTGCATTTGTAGCTGACTTAAGTGACTTTGATCTCCTGCTATCTAAAATCCCAGTTTGTATAATCACTGAGTCTGTGCTGTAGCTCTCAGACTGGATTCATCCTATGAAGCGTTTCCGTGTAGCTGATAGCTTGTTTTGTTTTCTGGTGGAGACAAAGTAACTGTTTCAGTACTGGGTGCTTCCCACAAATGGAAAACACTCTCTGGGGGAGAGCTGGGCAGAGCCACGGCTGCTGCTGTGTCCTGGTGTCACTTCCCTGCTGCGGCAGGGGAGCAGCTCCCAGTAGTAGCTGACACTGTCCCCAGTGCATGTGTGGCTGGCAGGAGCATCAGATGAGCTCTCTGTGGTGAGTCAAAATGGTGCTCTTACTGCTGAGAGCAGGAGAAAAGGATGCTGCCTTGTGACTCACATGAACACCTGATGTGTGCATTGTGTGGAGAAAAATGATAAACAGAATAAATGCTAAGCTGTTGCCTGGAAATTCCACAGCATGGGGACAGCAGACATGATCTAAACATTTGTTTAAGTCTGTGAAGATGATCCAGCTGTGATACTCAAGTATTTTAACATTGTGTGAGAAGTCAAAGCTACAAGTTTGAGGTGTAGACACAGCAGCATTCTTAACACAGTTAATGGAAAAATATTAAGGGAAACATGGGATGCTGCACATTTCGGGTGAAGAAAAACTATAGGTAGTGGAGGGCTGGAAAAACTGCCGTGATGTTCCAGTACTTGTTCCTTTTCTAGAAAGCTCAACAACTCTGGATAGTTCTTCCCTCTTTATTTTTGACTGTATCTTTCCTTGTGTTTCTCTGGCTATGCAGTGGCAAAACTTATAATTTGGTTTATGGATCAGATGATTTTCATTTGGGATGTGCCTCATGGTCTAATTCACTACAGCATATGGAGTGTGCACTTGGTGTTGGGAACATCTCCTGTGACAGGTGCTGCTGATGGAAGTAGGTCCTGAGTCTCAGTAATACCTGACAATTGCTCAGACCATAATTCACTGAGTTGCTTTGCTTTTCTTTGTGGCATCTACATAATTCACTAGGGCTAGTGTTTGCAATTTTGCAGGTCAGGGAAGATAATGGAAGTGAGTGGAGTTTAAAACAACCATTTGTTTCTCAAGTTATAACTAGGTCAGGTACTTAGTCTGCCATGTGGCCCTGCATAGACAAAGGAATGGGTATGTTCGATCTAGGAATGAGAGGATCTCTATGCTGGCAGTGTTTCAGAAGACTTGTCTGTCAAACAATAGCTTTGATTTGTTAAATTTATTATCCATTTAAAAATACAGATCAAACTGATGTAATGGTTGAAAGCATTGATTTCCTAAGAGTTGTGTGTAGATAGATGTTATGAGCCTTTATTTTTTCATGCGTAATTTTATGTGTGTGAATGCTAAAGATACTTAAACACTGAAATGGAGAGATACTCAAAGGTCTGCTTCATGGCATTTAACTTAGGTCAGAGCACTGAAAACACTTGCTACCAGTGCTTGATCATGCTGAACACAATGTTTATGAGAACTGAAGGGCTTTGAGGATTCTGGTTAATATACTTAAGTATCCATAGAGCAAGATTTTTTTGTTATAACGAACATAGAACGTGTTTCTCTTGTTTTTGAGATTCTTCGCAGAAACAGTATTCCATAGGTTACTGAAATTACTGTAGAGAGTCTTATCACTTTGATATTTTTTTCTTTCACTAGAGAATTTTGGTAGGTATGAATGTTGAGGTAACTTTTTGTCTGCCTCACAGTCTGCCTCACAATGAAGCATACTGACTGGTAGGAAGATCAGGAGTATCAGAACTTAGACTGTCAAGGATTATGTCTGAATTTTGTTTCTGATAACTTGAAACCATTATCTTATTAGCAGAAATCCCTTTATTTACATAGTTACATACTCAGTGAGCACGGCAGCATCTGCAAGCAATGTAATTTGGTGTCCGTGTGGAGTTTAAATAGGGATCTTGTTACATAGGAGCATATGATACCATCTCTGGAAATCTACTTATCAAGTTAAAAGATGGATTTCATGCTAAATACAACTTACAATTTCAAGTTAAAATTTATTGTTATATTTCCACAGGGGAACTTTAGATTTTTATGTAAGTATTCTAGAGATTTTACTATTGCTGTGAGTCATTGAAGTTTTCATTTCTTGAAAGTTTTCAGGGTAAACTGAAAACTGATTGTTTTATAATGCTGCCACTAATTATTTTTTGTTCTTTTGAAATGGATTGATAGTAGTAGGTTCAAATAGTCATTTTAATTTCAACAGATTCTTCACAGGAAGAAGGTTCAAACTTCAGTTTTCCTGTGCCAAATGTGAGTGGAGTTTCCCTCAGAGAATTTTGGGTTCTGTAAAAAGGCCTGTAGAGCAAGTCACAGTTGTGATCAGCTAAATACATTAATTAGACATGTCAATCAAATGGGGTTTTGTGCTAATAACAGTTCCAAATAGTCTATAGTATTGTTTTATGAGATCTTTAATGCGTTTTGCATTTGAAAAGTCAGTTCCTTGTTGGTTGGAGCTGTGGGTGACTTTAATTTAGCTGGCAGGTTACATCCCTGGAAGGACTAGCTCTGAACATGGATTAATATTTGTGCTTCTTTGAGCAGAAAAGCCATAGCAGAGGCTCATAATATTTAAAATTACAGGTAGTTTTCCTTTTGTTCTCAAACACTTAGCCTGTTAATGAAAAAATACTGTGTTTGCTGGATTATACTCAGCTCCTCTGGAGATACAGTATACTAATGGAAATCAGCATTTTCTGCTTCTGTAAATAGATTGGCAACAGCTGCAGATCCAAACAGGCGAGCTTCTGGTCATTTTTATTATTGCCATTGAGAAATGGTTTGAATGGCTGGGGAGTGTGCAGGCTGAGCTGGGATATGAGCAGGGAAAGGGAAAGAAAGAGTGTATTTACAAGCCAGCAATGGGAGAATAGAGGTGAAGAGCTTGATGTATCTTCATTTGGGAGTCCTTGAGCTGAGTTTCAAGCTCTTTTATGTGCAAGACGTACTACTCAGCTGGTTGAAAGTCATGAGTTCTTACATGAGATCTTGGGATACCATTTTGCTAACTTCTTTATTGTTGAATATGTGCTCTGTTGGAGAATATCCTCATGCTGTGCCATGAGAAGCTCCTAAATTTTTCAGTTCCTTCTTCTTTGGTCTTTTATCTTCTGCATGGGAGAGAAACATGGTGAGAATGCTCACTCCTGCAGCACTCCTCCTTCCTGCCCCATCGAGGCAGCTCTTGGATGAACAGCAGCTGCTGCTCTGCTCCTTCCTAGCAGATGAGGAACTGGTACCAGTGTAGCCTGCTAACTGGCCAGCTAAGATACCGGTGTTGTTTATGGACACAGGAAGTTGCCAGGAAAGAAAAAGCATTGAGTATCTTTCATCTGAGCATTTAATTGAAGTCTTGTGCCTGTGTTTACATGTGTGAGATTTTTTTCCCCCATGAAAGCTAGCAATCATCTTTTAAGAATCTTACTACAAGGTCTTGGGAAACATAGTGAGCTGTAGGAATTGGTTTTCTGAAATACAGGTATGCTTACTTTCTGTGCTTCTCAACGTACATATCATACAATGGATGCTAGATTCAGCTTGTGCTGAAAGATGTGAAATGGCTTTATGTTCCCTCTTTAATAACAGCACATTTCTTGGATCTTGATACCCAACCTATGTGGATAATATAAAGAGCCAAGGAAATAATGAAATACAGTGTAATAATGACAGGTGGGAGTAGAGAACATTTATCAACCGTTGCTTTAGAAACAGCACCATCAGCCTGTGAAATGGTTAAAGATCACCTAAAAGTGAAGTTCACTGTATACTGAAGCCTTGAAAACTGGAAAGTTTCTTAGCATCTTAGTTGTATGGTTTACCAGTGCTTTAATCTGTATTCTTTGTACTGGATTATGTCTTAGTGATATTAACTATTTTTCAAGGAGAAAGACAGAACCGTAGCAATTAGATTCTTAGTTTATTGTTTTTAATGCTGTTTGAAATGTATGTCTGTTTTTAAATTTCTAATGGATATCTTGTCTGTTGATAGTCTAAACACTTTGAGGTGCTCTGCTACTAGAAAAATGGATCATATTAATTTTTCATAGAAGAAAGTATTCACAATACTTTGTACTTTGTACAATACTTGTACTGTGAAAAAGTACAAAACATGTTTAAGAAGGAAACATGGACTTACTCTTTTTAAAAAGGATTCCTCTCACATTGTATTCAGCTACCATCTTGTGGGAATAATTATAGTTCATTCACTATGAATGACTATTTGTAACAACAATGAAGTCTAAATGATTAGGAGAGATGAGGAATATGGTATTTAGCAGCTCCTTGTAGGCTGTTAGGAGTTATAAATGAAGTACCAAGTTTAGAAAAATGAAACAGTTCTAAATTGTATAAAATCTAAGATAGGTGTCCCAGTGTGATTTTCAAGTAAATTGCTAAAATACTGAATAAGAAATTGGACTTTTTTTCAAGAAAAATCCCAGTATATTTCAAGAAGAAAAGGAGCTTAATTCTTCTTAGAAGGTGTAGAAACACTTAAAATACAAAGGTAGTATCTTTTGTGGAACAGTAGTAACTTTTATTTAGAATTGTTTGACATGTATAATTCGTTGTCTGTTAAGACAGGCAAAAAGGGTTTATTCCAAGAATCTTTGTGTAAAAGACTTTATACTAAATAAACCTTTTCTTTGTGTTTTTCAGTCAGCAGATAAGCAGCGAGCCCTGGAAGAAACCAAAGCCTACACAACGCAGTCGTTAGCGAGCGTAGCCTATCTGATCAACACTTTGGCCAACAATGTTCTCCAAATGCTGGATATCCAGGCATCCCAGCTCCGGCGCATGGAATCTTCAATCAACCACATTTCACAAGTGAGACTTTTTTCTTTTTGCCTTTGATATTTCATAGCAAGTAAAACTCTGAAGTGACATCTCGTGAGCGAGAAGAATTTAAAACAGAAGGATGCATTTCTTCCCATACTCACTCTGGGATTGGGTCTCATCATGTGATTCCATACCAGTGTTAGTATGAACATTTTACATACCAAAGCAGGTTAAATGCATTCTCAGCCAGATTATTGTTTGGAGAGGGGGTCATTCTGCATAAGTGAAAAGCACAGAAAAATGGCTAATGGTAAAATGAGAATATTATGTTAAATAAGAAATGGATGGTGGAAAACAGTACTCATCATCTTTTTACTTTTTTCTGGTGCTGTAATACAGGCATCTGATGACAGCAGCACAGATGACAAAAATAGTTTGCTTCCGGCTTTTCTTGATAAAATGTACTTTGCAGTGACATGAACAAAAGCCAGAATTAATGTTTCAATTCGTGTATGGCTGCAGAACTCGTGCCATTGTTTGCTGTTCTTCTGAGCAGCAGTAAACTAAGCTACTATAATCAGGAGCCCAGGTTCAATCACCACATTGATGAGAGAATTTGACAGACAGAATGGGCTGAGAATGAATGATATATAAAAATGGAGATTTCCCAGCCACTGATGGATTAAAGGAGAAATTAAAAGCAGTGATTTAACAGGTTCTGGTTTTTGTGTCTGTTCACTGAATATTTTGTATCTTAGTAGACCAATACATTTTGGCTGCTAGGGTTTCCTGATCTCCCTACAATAATATAAATTAAAATAAAGAATACTGTGTTATTTGGAAAAACATTTGAAAGTAGGGCTGTGTAAGGTAGGAAATAAGTGGATGGATTGGATCTATTTGAACCAGCAAAATAAATGAATAATTTTATGCTGGCTTAGTGGGCTGAATTGCCTCTGATTGGGTCGGAGGAATCCCAGGGCAAGTACAAAGAAAGAGGTGGGGAGGATTTCCTCTTTTAATAATGCTGTTAGATTGCTTTAGTTGTCTCATGGATCTGCATCAAAAATAAGATGGAAGTTTGATTGCTTTTGCTAGATGCTCCATCATTACGTGGACAAGTAAATTAATTTTTTTCCCCAGAAAATGTTATGAATTATCCTGTGTATGCCTGTGTGCTATATCTATATGCCCTGTGTGTGTATGTGCTTCCTCACAGGCTGGTGCCAGCTCACATGTGTTCCAGCTGTTTGACAGCCTGATGCAAAAGGCAGTATATTTGCATTTCATGGATGTGGAAAATTCATTTTGTCATACAGCTTCTGCAAAGTAGCTTTTGTGGAAAGAGTCATAGCTTTTTAAATTTTTTCCTCCTGAGAAGGTGACATTTATGCGGATTGAGAGCTAGGTCAGATTGTCTTTGACCTTTATACAATACTGCTAGTTATTTAAAATAGAGCACTAAATTAGCAGTATCCCATCACTTAATGAAGATGTATCTGCAAAATTTCATAGGTTGAGCTTGAACAACTAAAAAAAAATCTATGATTTATTTTTTAATACTGCTGTAAAATTGAAAATCTAGTTTGTTTGGGGGGATTTTTTGTGTGGCTTGTTTTGGGTTTTTTGAGCCTGCATCATCTGTATGTAGCATGCTCTCCAAATCCTTATGGAAGAAATAATATCAGAGGAGCTGACAGTATTTAAATTTTGGGTATTTCATACATGAAGTGTATTGATCCAAGTAACTTTATTAAGTTGAGTTAATGTGTTTGGAAATGGCTTCCTCCCATAATATCAGTGTTGTAGATTAGTGTGTTATCTGTCTTAATTTCCAGGGTTATTTTTCTTAAAAAATTATTTTATACCATTTCTCTATAAATAAATAATTTATTTTCAAGAAATTTGGTTATACTACTCATAAAATTATCCTAATCTGCAGAAGGTTTCTTTGGTGTTTATGTTGGGTGTAAAGTTTGGTGAACTTTTTCTAACAGTACTGAAAATGTGTTGTGGTGTGATACCGCACTGTCAAATTAGGATTTCAGCCAGACTGACTTGAAATGAAGTCAGTAACATAGAAGAGAAAACAGGTTGATAATTACAGATGGTAAATTAATTTTTGCATTAATGCTTTGGTCAATAGGTCTTGGTATTTAAATTTAGAAAACATTATGTGCAAATTTGATATCTGGATGGAATCCTGCTTTTAATTCTCATGTGGGATTCCACATATGCTCCAAAGAAGGGAGCAGAATCATTTGGTGCTTGGTGTGCAAATTTTTCCCAGAGTGCTTGTTATGTACAAGTAGCTCAGACTGGGAGAGGTGTGATGAACTTTGTAAGATAAAATGCTCTGGTTCTCTGTTCATTGGTAGAACGCCAGTTTAATCCCTTTCTGTGTTTCCTTCTAAATGCCAACCTAATCAAAGAGCTGAAAAGGAAGCTGATAATAATTTGTGCTTTTTCAAGTTGTGTATAGGTTGTGAATAAGGAAATTGTTACTATTGAAACTATTTTTATGCAAGTGATTAAATCCTATTGGTTTAAAAATTGGAATTACTTTGGTTTGGTCTGAAAGCTGATGAATCTATTCTTACTTGCCTTCTTGAACCTTGTCCAGAACTAGATGATACACAGTGTTTCATATTTGACTACGAATTTAAATCTTAAATACAGATCATATGTACAAATATTTATACTTGCTAAAAAAATTATCTTGCAGCTTTCAGGTTAACAGTCACTGTGAAATATTACTAACGTCCAAATTCTTTAAATTAATCTGGCAGATTTTCAGGTTTTATTATTTGTATGATGAGAAATGTGTTTTTAGTTTTAGCAAGGTCATTTTAAAAACTCTGCCGCTAATTATATGAACAAGCACGTTATCACAAAGATGAGTAGGAGTGATGAGTTTTCTCCAGTGGCACTGTGTTGGGGGGAGGTCTGCTACATCCTCCCCTGACAGAACTGACTGCCACGCTCTTGGCTGAGAGAGCAGGCATTGGATAGACTGCAGCCTTGCATTCCCTGCAGGCAGCAGCTGCTGCGAAGCTGGGCTGTAGCAACATCTGCGAGCTGCTCAGTCTCCGCAGGGAAGTTCACTTGGACTTTCCACTGAAAAGTCAGTCAGGGTTTGTGACCTTTCTCAGTCGTCTTATTCTTGCAAGGCACAAGAACAGCAAAACACTTTAAAAATGGTCATGCAAGGCCAGTTTTGCACAGGGCATGTTACCTGTTTATGGAACAAGTGGTTCTTCAGCATTTTTATAGTATTATGATCTCTTTTTCTTGGTGTATAAATTACATGCAACTTGAGACAATTAATGGCACATTTCCAACATGTCAATATTAGGCAGTTGCTAATTTTAAAGTAATAATCCAGTTTTCAAGGTAATTTGCAATTACTTTGAATTGCCTCAAATTAATAAGATTAATAAAAATAAAAGTCCAGCAATACTATATTTAAGCAACATTTTCTTCTAAGATTTTTGAAACAGAATTTTAAAAGTGTAGACTACCAGACTGACAGTTAATTTATAAATTTAAATTAGAATGGTTTGAGAAGAGGAAGAAATTAAGGCTTCTGGAGACTGTTATCTCTGAAATTTCACTCTAATTCAGACTTTCAGCATGCGTGTGGTTATGGTTTAACCTCAGCTGCCAACTAAGCACCATATGGCTGCTCATTCACTTCCCCCTACCAGGCTATGGGTAGAAAATCAGAAGGGTAAAAGTGAGAAAACTTGTGGGTTGAGATATGTACATCTCTTTAATGATGATGGCGATAATAATAATAATAATATAGAAAAATAATATTGAAGAGAGAAAGCAAACCCAAGAAGAAAGGCTGCAAATGAAAGCAGTTGCTCAGCAGCAGCAGCTGAGTGCTGCCCAGGCAGTCCCCAGGCAGCAGTGCCCAGCCAGGCTCCCCAGCCCGGGGCTGCTGACCGTGAGGCCGTGTGGAGCATCATCCCCTGGCTCAGCAGGGCCAGCTGTCCCAGCTGTGTCCCTTCCCACCTTCTTGTGCACCCCAGGCTACCCAGTGGTGGGTGGGATGGGGAGCACAAAAGGCCTTGACTCTGTGCAGACGCTGCTCAGCAGTAACTAAAACATCCTGGAGTTATCAGCTCCGTTTGCAGCACAGATCCAAAATACCGCCCCATACTGTGAAGAAAATTAATTCTGTCCCAGCCAAAACTAACTTAAGTTAGTTAAATGCTAACTTAATACTTTGAGAAATTTTGTTCACTGGTAGAAGAGACTATTTCTCAAAACTCATGAGTTCAGTGGCTTTTAAGTGAACTTGTAAGTAGTGTTAACTTTCCCAGAAATTATTTCATGGTTTTTTTTTTTTATTTTTAATATTTGCAGTGCTTGAGACTGGCTTTTTTGAATTCAGTGTGAAAACCTGATGTTTCAAAATGGCCAGAAAATTCCTAACAGAAAAAAATGTGGTGGTTCATACTTACTTTTCCCCTTAAGCTCTCCCTTGGCTATTGCAGGGGTCTTGGAAAGCATATGAAAAGATGATAGTAATGAGCCTAACCTCTAACAAAGTGCCACATAAAAGCTTTTGCCAAAGCTAATGGAGATATGTGAAACAAATTTTTAAAAACATAATAATGCTGTCAGGCGTCCAAAATTTTTTTTAGAAAGTAGGGTTTTAAGTTGTAGAAGGGCACAGTGTATCCCATCTGCTTTTCCTAACAGAGTTGTCAAGCCAGGTGTTTTGTTAGTCCAGCTCTAACCCCAAAAACTTCTCATTAGAACTTTCTAAACTGATGAATAAACATTTTGGTGCATTCTCCTGTCTTGATAAGGGATTTATATTAGTGCTGGAGGTAATAATTACCTGCGTGTTGAGGATAATGTTTTCATTTTCTTCAGTAGCAGGTTAATCTTTGTTACCTCCTCTACTAATGGAATACTGCAGTGTTCCTTTCTGCTATTTTATGGGTGTATTAGGATCTCATGACTTCCATAGTCTGCTAAACAAGAAAATGAAATGTTTGGAAAACTGCCAGCATAATGCTTTTCAATACCATTTTAGGTGTGTGGACCAGAATTAGGTGCAGTTTGTATACATTTAGTCATTCTGTAGCTATTCAAGTTAAAAGAGATGTTCTGAATCATAATGCAAGGGAAATCCCACCAGATGAGCTTCAGGTTTTAATTAGGTTTTATGCACTTCATTGTTTGTTACTGTAGTCATGACTCATGATCACCATAGAACTTAAGAAAGCTGGTTGTACCCATGGCTCCTATTGAAAACCCACTCTTCATTCACAGAAACAGCTTTGCACAGTGCCAGGATACCATTGCTACAGTAACACGAGCATTAAATATCTGTACTTGCATTATATTAGTAGATAATTACAGCAGAAAGTACTGAAAGAACATATTCAAATTTGCAAAGTTCTAGCACTTGAAATAGAAAGTGAGAAATCATCTTGCCAATCCTGCCCTAATAAATTTCTTTTTGATTTCTGGATTGAAATTAAGGCTCTGAGTGCAATATCCAAGGCATGAAAATGTTTTTGAAGCACCAGATTCAGACCCATAAAATTTTGATGTGCCAGTACATCCTGAAGTGCAGCTGCTATTGCAGCTGAATCTAACATTCTAGCAAATGGTGTCAGGGGCCTGTGAGTCAAAGAACACATAGAAAAGTCATGTCTCTGCAGTTCTCCAGTGACATATCTAGACCACAGATAAAGTCTGCGGTAGAGATTGAATTCTTCACTGGTGTATCAGTCATGACTGTCCCCCCAAGTTGTTGCCATCACATATCTTCAGCTTCTTAAGACAGAGAATGTGCCCTCTGAGTGGTGAGATGAGGAGTCTGTAGACCATCTTTCCAGAATGTGTGCTCCTATTCCCTGTGCTGCACAGGCACAGGTCTAGCACAGAGAAGGGATAAAAACCTGAGATGGAAGATGAAATCTTACATCTTACCCTGATGCAGAATGCTGTACTTTAGGTACTCTGGCCTGGAAAACATTGTTGTGCTCTGTTTGCACTTGTGCTTGTACCAAAAGTATAGCACTGTAAGATCTGTGAAGGTCTGACCTGCACTGCTGAATTGGGGGTTGGTGTATAGTCCTGGTCATCGTGGGGCGCTTCAGAAATGACCTTGGCAAAATTAATTGGAGAGTGGTTTAGTTGTTAAGTAGCTGCAGAAATACATGTGTTTCTGTAACACTGTGTGAACTGTGAATTTCTGCAGAATTCATATATTGGCCAAATCTGGGTGGGTTTTTTTGCGGGTGTCCCAGGGTGGTTTAACCACCCCTATTAATTAAATTCATTGCTCAACAAACTTGAGCTTTCTAAAGAGAGATTTGCCAATACATTTTGACCTTAAAATCTATTTTTCTGTATCTTTATTTTAAGAAATAACTACGCAACTTTAGTAGAAACCTTACAGTTCTAGGCAGGTGGAGCTAGAGTGGCAGAATGCACATGACAAAGCTGTAGTCAGTGCCTAATTTTAGCAAAGTTACAAAATCTTGAAAATATGTTGCTGGGAAATAGTATTGTAAGCTCACATATAATAATATAATCAATATAATAATTGATAGTACTGTAAGCTCACATATAATGCCCCAGGCATTTGGGGAAATACTTGCCTGGAAATAATGCAAAGAAACAACTTCTTGGAAATAGTTTGGGGGTTGGTTGGGGTTTCTAAATTTTTTTTTGTAATGTTAAAGGTTGTGATGGTTGTTCAAGGTAGCATAGGTTCCATTAGCTTGTTTTGGTATCATCAGTAGCACAAACAGCAGGGTAAAAGAGTGTAGCCAACCCCACTGCCCCAGTGCCTACCCACAGAAAAATAAAATAGACAAAAATGTGTGTTATGAAAATGAGTTCTCATTTGTAACTGTTCCCCAGTTACTACAAAGCCTGGTTCAAAACTGTGAAAAGTGTTTCTGGTGCCATTCATGATCACTGAAGTGGTAACAAGAAATCTCTCACTGTTTAGAAATCCTTATGGTGATGGTTCTGGCTGTTTTTACTTTTGTTTTTTTATCCTGTAGCTGAAACTTTTGTCCACAGTTTAGATAATTTCGTATAGTGAAAGCTGTTTTGAGAACAAGCAGTTATTTTTGTTTTAAATAAGGCAAAGAACTCCATGGCCCGTGATTTAAGATGTTATATTTTCTTGGAAGAGATAAATGGACTTTTTGGCAGCATTTTCTTACTCTTGTTACCTAAAAAGATTCACATACATGTTTTTAGGCAATGAATTTTCAGCAGGACTCTGTCTTACAGCAAAGATTCTCCTGTGGTGCTGATTTTAGTATACAAAGTTGGCCCTGGGTATCCAAAGGGAAGGCAATGGGCTTCACTTCTGGCTTTATTGTGGATAAATTAGTATGGAATGTATTCTAAAATTTAATCATTGCTTTGTGATGAGTGAGTTGTAGCAACCAAAATACTTTCTTGATTTGTCTAAGTGAAATTTTATTCTATCATAAGATTACCTGTCCTAATTTAGCAAACTTTTGCAGTGCAAGAAAACCTGCTCATGGCTTGTTTTTCACGTCTTAATTTTAAGGTTTGGGAAGGCATCCTTACACTTTATCTAGTTGAAGCCTATGTCAAAGACAAGCTTAGAGAGCAGTTGTAAAATAAAAAAGGATAAGTGAAGGCATCTTATAAAACAGTGTCAGTAAATTGATGCAAACTACTAAGAATGGAAAGGAGAAGGGATTTTTTGAAACTGAAAGAGTGAGGGTAACAGAAAACCCAAAGAACCCTCAGCTGTTAGTGTGGCTTTAGAGGTGGCAAATTCAGCAGTAAGTTGAAGAAAGAGGTTGTAATCAAGTATATGTAGTGATATGTTTAGTACAGTGTAGAGATCGTCAGAACATTCGAACTGATTTAATATTTTTTGATACTGACTCTGTATTCCAATGCATACCACTGTTAGTAAATACACTGCGTCTTTTGTAGACGGTGGACATTCACAAAGAGAAAGTTGCTAGAAGAGAAATTGGTATCTTGACTACAAACAAAAACACCTCAAGAACTCACAAAATCATTGCACCAGCTAACTTGGAGCGACCAGTTCGCTACATCAGGAAACCTATTGATTATACAATTCTAGATGATATTGGACATGGAGTGAAGGTAGGTGATATTGTTAAAACAGCCAAACTGCAAATTCATTGTCTTTGTATATTTTCAAAATAACCTGATGCTTTTCATGGTAATATACCAGTTTCTCCTTGCCTGGACAATGTGTCTAAAAACACGAGAGGAGTCCTGTCTGATTTCCAGTTGTCCCTTTCCCTTCTATTGTCCCAGTGTTTCTAAATGTTGCAAACTCACCGAATCTGATTGGGACTGTGAGTCTCGCCTTCAAAAATGGTTCTGAATATCAACTTGTGTGATGCTGCTCTTATTGCCAGGGATATACATGGGGGCTGAAGGGCTGATGACCATCACTTCTCTGCATGAATTAGCACCACAGAGTGTGATCCAGCTGTAATTGCCACTGGTTTACTTTGACCCTCATGTAAAGGAAGGGTTTGCATGAGAAATGTTATGGGCTCCCTTTTCTTCTTTCTGCCAGGGTCAGTTATACACAAACCCACTGATGTGCTTTGTTAAAGGGAGCTCTCTGCAACTTTTGTGCCATATGTGGTTTTGGGATGGGAGTGTTACTGCCAAGTTCAAAGCCAGCTGGTTTTCCCTTGCCAAGATAAGGAAAAAATAAGGAGAGATCAGAGACACAACTAGTTGAGACACAACTAGTGGCTGTAGATCAATGTATACAGCAGCAGTAATATAATGTGTGAGGTTAGGTATGTGTTTTTAAAAGCGTATCCTGAATATAAACACAGTCTTAGCAGGTGTGAGCTCATTGTTAACTTGTGCTGCCAGGAAAACAAGTACGGAAAGGAGAACACTGACAGTATTAAAGTTCCAGGAAATGAAAGGTAAATAGCACAAAGTGACGTCATTTTTACAAGACAAACTAACAAATCTGTAAACCTGCTAAGTAGCAGTAAGGTAAGATGCTTCTTCCAGTCAAAGTACACCAGAATTTCTTTTGCTTGACTTGTAACTGGATATCTCTGTTGTCCTATTTGATTTGTCTGCTTGGTTGGCCATTTGAATGGCAATAGGTTGTTTAACCTAACTTTTAAAATTCAAATTCTGAGCAGTTTGATTTAAGTATCTTTCTCCAATTTTACTTAAGGTCTTTTCAACATCCTGTTTGTTAACTGGAATGTCTCCTTCCTCCCATCTCTTACCCAAAGAATCAACCTCTGAACAGATTTTAAAATAGACAAATAAAAAAGCATACCAAACTTTAATAACTACAGTTTTGACCAGGAAATTATTATCAGTTGTGTGTTAAAATCTGCTACCAATTTTGAATTTATGCAGGTCAGCAGATCTCCTTGTGGATATGGATGGAGCATATGAACCTGTAGGATTGCTGTTGCTAATATTTTAATCATCACTTTTTGTTTTAGCGAGATAATTTTAAAACTCATTAAAGAGTAGTTTTTAATTGCTCTGCAGCACAGTTGTATTTAGCACTGGCTCTAAATCATTATAATTGGTATCCCACTTACCTCAATGTAGCAGTCATACTAAGATGCAATGAATTATGTTCTTCTAAAAGAACATAGTTCATCAAATGGATGATGATTCAAGTGTATTTTACATCCATTTGTTATGCTTGTGATAGACTTAAATTGTATTTACCATGTACTGTGTTTCTCTAGAAAATGAAGAAATATTGTGAAATACTTGTGAAACAATGGTCAGAGAACTTGAAGTCATGCTGTCCTTAAGATTGTAAATGTGTTCCAGTTAGGTTAATCCTGTGTTTAGGACAGAAGAAAGAAGTGCTTTCTTGCTGATGAGGGAAAAGGTGGCCAGTTGTGCTTATGAACCTCTTTTTGTTCTGCTTGAGTAACTCCAGATTAGTTTATTTGTTCTCTGGCTCTAGAACAGAGAGAAAAAAATGAAATACATAGAAGCTTTAAATTTTGTATATATAGCCCTTTATTGTTTGAGCTGTGATTCCTCTCCCTTCAAGTGAGCATTCAGAAACTGTTGCAGCATCAACAGCACTGAAGTTCCAGTTAGCATCAGGGTTCCTCAGTCTGCATTCTTTGTCCTTCTTCTGCTGAAGGGCTTCTGCTCCTGTACTTGGACCTGGAATTATGTATTTTCAGGCCAGGCAAAATGCTGATGCAGCAGACATTCATTGTAATCCCTGAGAAAGATGGCAAGCTGGACAGAATAATGCAGGAATAAAAGGGAGGCTTCTTGGCTGAGAAATTCAGTATGTCATGCTAAGAGAAGTGGTGCAGGCCCTTAAGCATCTTCTTCCTTCCATTCAGAAATTTGAAGCATAGTGGAGACAATGTTCAGGAAGGGTTGCTCTATAGTATAGTTTCTAAATAGCTGTGATAGAAGTCAAGTGCTTCTATATCATCCCAGCAGTTCTTCCTCATTTTCCCTCCCTGAAGCTACAATGCTGCAAAAGTCTAAAGAATCTTTTGTGTCAAAGAGACTTGCTTTCAATTTTTTTCCAAATGTTTCCCAAGTTACAAAGTCTTCCAACCTATTATTCCCTCCAAAGAGTTCTTTAGTCAAGAAAATGGGAAAAAAGTAAGTGTTCCCTTCAGAGAGGTGTGCATTAAGGCATTGTAGTTATCAGGCAGCGCTGCTGAGGTCTCTGCAGCTGAACCTCCCAGTGTAACTGACCTCTGGGGCCAGTACAGGGGGACCTGGTTTTCCAGTATAGCTGTACGAGGCAGAGACCATATTGGTAAATTGATCCACAGAACTTTAAACTTTTTGACAGGCGATTTCCTAGTAAATCAGATTGTTTCTTTTTAGTAGAGAAGGGTTTCTCTTAAATTGATGGAACAAATCAGTCACTCTGCATGCTCTACCATTTATCCAAATATTTAAATAATTATTTATTTGAATATTTAAATATTTACCTGAATATTTGCTGTTCAGTACTGGAAAAAGCAGAAAGTTTAACAAATATAATTACACATTTAGATGAATTGAACTAAAAACAGATCATTCAAAGGGAAAGACAAGTAATTTTGAAAGAAATTGCTGTGGAGAAAGATGTATGATATTGTGCCAGTAAGATGCAGAACTTAGTGTCAAAAAGCTAGCATTTAGGCTTTAAAGTAAGATTTTGCTGTTGATTAATGTCTTACTTCAGGAAATGTGGATATGTGATACAGTATCCATAAAGAGTGCTCTACTTCTTACAAGATGGAATTATTTGCTTTTGATCTTTGTTCAAGAGAGATCTCGTGGCATCAGGTTAACTAACAGCATTCTCTATCAAAGAACATGCATTAGCTTAATATGCTAGAAGCTTCCATTTCAGCTACTTGTAAATGTGCAAATGCATGTAAACAATTTCAGTGAGCTCAGGCTCATTGATAAAGCTCAAATAAAGCTTTGACAGCTCAAATAAATTAATCTCTGAAGTTAATCCATCTAGATCTCATTATACATTTTGAAAGAAGCTGCCTTTTTGTTAACACTGTAAGAACTTGAGTAAACAGTGTACAAGCATTTGAATGCTAATTTTAAAGTAATAATTTAAAGGCATTGTAGTCAATGTATATTAAAATTTTCAGCTTGAAGACCTTTTGTTCATGACATTCTGCTTTAACCACTCTTTCTATGATCTACTGATACATTATTTTGTTAATGCTGAATGCTTAACTTTTTTCTTTCTTTTTCCTTCCTCTTCATATCCTGAAGTTCCAACTAACCTTTCAATGCTTTTTTTCCTTACCTCTTTTATTTGCTCCATTTATGCATTAAGTGGTTGCTTAGATTTAAGGTAAGAAACCCCAGGGCTGGATTTCCATTCTTCTTCTGAGATTATTACACACGGGGAGATGATTGACATCAATGCTACAGATTGTTTAAAACAACACCCGCTCTCCCTTCTGTGTCACAGAACTTCTGTTGAGCAACTCATTGTGGATAAGGATTTTGTGATATAAATTGATGTGTACATGAATGGAAGTGAACACAGTTCATTTTAAAAGCTTTATGGTAAAATATTAGCTGCCCTCAGCACATCTAGCAGATCATTTATGAGGGAGGAATGTTGTGCTAGCCTTGAGTAGACAAAAATATACATGGACTAGATAGCAGCTGAATATGAGCCTCCCCCTGTGTAATATTCTTTTTATCCTATATACGGTGTAAGTTACGGTTTGATTTGGATTGATGTTTCAGTGTGAGATTGCTCAGATAATGGGCTCCAAAGGTGTGTAACAAATTCAAATCTGTATATTATTTTTTAAAGTTGCAGTATTCTTATTTTTTCAGAAACTGATAGCAGTGCTTAAATACTCAGAGGTACTCATCTATGGGAACTTACAGAAATTTCACAATTGTGTAAAATAATAACTGTTAAACAGCAAGATTATTTATTTAGTTGAATATTAAATGAATAGTTCATCAAGAACTCAGGCTGAAGTATGTAAAATTCTTTAAATGTTAGTAGTCTTAGTGGCTGCAGAAGCAGCAATAAAAAGCATCAAATTAATTAGACAAGCAGTTAAATTAAGTTACATGATATTATGGTGGAGTTCATAGTACATTAATTAATAGATAGGTTATAGCCTTTATTGAGTATGATGATATCCTCCTCCTGAAGTGCAGCTGGTTTGGGGAAAGAGGGACTGGAAGGTTTTTAGTAGCAGGTGCCACCATTGTAATGAAGGAACTGTGTTTTAGAACATCGAAGGCCAGTATATGGAATGAGTATATTAATTCAAGGAAGTTCCAAGCTGACGTGAAATATTTTACAGTATTTTCTATGCTTGGAAAAAGCTAAAAGAAAATCCTGCAAATTCCTGAGATCGCCTATAAAACCAAGTGTTTCTCTAATATCTCCATGATGTCCCTGTGAAATAGGACAGATGGTACTTTGAGTCAGGTATTTAAGTATATGTAGGTAGCATCTCTGATAACAATGGAAAACTTGTCATTTATGAGAGAATTCTCACATGTCATTTGAAATTTATTCTTACAAAGGTGTGTGAGGTGTACAGTATTTCAACTCACTCAGTGTTTACACGCTTTTAATTTGAGAATGGCAAAATATGTCTCCTCCCTGTTTTTTACAGTCTGTTTACATAACATGGGTACTTCTGATGCTGAATATGTCTTATTCTGGACACACTTAATATTGGGTGATGGTTTTCTCATTGTTCTTAAAAAAACAATTTGCAAACTCAATTTTCTTTGTTGATCTCTGCAGTTGCAGTTTATAAACAAGTAATAACTATACTAAGAAAAGTTTTTAAATTGTGTAATTATAAATTATATGTGAACTGACATACCTGTGCATTATCTGCAGTGGCAACAAGAGTTTTGTACAGCTTTTCAGAGTAAATATTTTTTTCTGTTTATAGGTTTGGAATGAAACAATTTTTTGCTATAACACCATTTCTTTATTTACTAGAGTGAACCCAGTCAGGAATTTGATTTGAGGAATCAAACATGTCAGTCAACTTCTCACTGGCAAAACGTGAGGGTTTAAAAGAGAAAACGAAAAAGGCAAAAAGCTGTGCATCATCTCTCAGTAGACCTGAGTTATTTTTGGTCTCACTGTAGTCCCTGTGCATCAGGCTGAAAGAAGAGTGAAAAGCAGTTAGTAACCCCAGTTCTGTGTGAATGGTTATTTTACTTCACTTAAAAGTGAATGGATATGAAGTGTTTAGCCTGTATTCCTTTTTTGTGGCTGCAAAAATCCCTTAGCCTTACCTAACAGCTATAATATTAAACTGACTGACTGTGGCATTGGATTTGTGTCTGAGTAACTTAAATTTTAAACAGATTTTGAAGAAAATTTCAGTTACAAGGCAGAGGAAAATCAATTGAAAATTACATTGTTTAAGTCTTTTTGTATTTACCAGACTTGGTTCTTCAATTATTTCGCATGGGTGGATGTGGTAAAAACAAGTAAGCTCACTTGCTTGAAGCTTCTACTTGTGGTCATTTGCCAAAACAGGGCTGAAATTTATACATTTCATTTCCAGATAAACTGGTTAATGAGCTGACAAGCAAATGGTTTTGATTAGACATGCACAGTAAGTATTTGAGTGGCTGAGCACAGGCTGAAAATAAACTTACTTTGAGGTAGCAGATGATGGGCCAAAAATCTGTTCATCATCTCTGTAGCATTAACAAGATGAAGCAAGGCATGGAAGGGAGTTTTCATTCAGCCTTGGGGCGTTTTTTCCCGTAATTGGATATAAAATGGCTCAAGAAGGTTGAGGAACAGCCTGAAGGTTCTGAATATAATCCGTGAAACATCACTGACGGGACACTTTTTCCTACTAGATTTTGGGCAAAAATTATTCTTTTGACATCCTGAAAGTTCTAGAAAATAGTGTGAATTTAAAGCACCACTTCGAAATTTGTGGCTGTGTCCAGCTTTAGAAGTAGCCCCTCCTGAGGTTTTATAATGTTGAACATCTGGTATTCAGGATTTTGGCGGGGGGGGGGAGAATCAACCAACCAAAAATAAGCCAACCCCCAAAAAGCCCACCTTGCTTGCTTTCTTGAGGTAAGTGCCTAATGTCTGTATAAATGCAGGACATTGATGCAAATAGTTTTGCAGTCTTGACCAGCTCCCATATCTCACCCAATATGTATTTCTGCACTTCCTGATTTTTTTTTTTTTGCTTGTGAAAATATTCCCCAGAATTAAACTGAATGAACAGCATAATTTATCTGTTTTAGCTGATTTATTTCAATACAAATTCTTTATACAGTGTAGTGCTAAAGAAATTCAATATGTTAAATGCTGATAAGTATGAAGGAAACTCAGTCATATATAGGACCATAAGATGGTGTTTTAATAATTGAAATCTATGAAAAACTAGTTGCCAAAAATAGAAATTGGCCATTTAAGTCTTAATTATTAAAAAAATTAAGGGGGTAGTGCTCTAGTCAGTGTCATATTGTTTCTTGAAGTCATCAGATGGTACCTTTCTAAAACTGTAGCTCGACAGTAGAAAATGTTGGATGAAGTACTATTGCACCCTTTTGAAACAGAATGGCCCATAGGGATCCATTTCTTTACAGATCTGCTTATTAGGTAGTTTCTGTAGTTCCTCAGCAAAACTTCCAATTCTTGCTCCAGTGCTGACAAAGTTACAGCTTTGGTAGAAGATATTTTTCTGTGGTGAGTGAGCTTGCTAATTCATCTATAAAAACTTCTGCAAGGTATCTAGTTAAAAAAAAGAAACTTAACCAAGATCTCTTGGTGTTCCATTACTTGTGTTGGTAATTTTGGGTTTTGTTGGTTTTTTTTTTTTTTTTTTTTTTTGCTGTGAAATAGGAAGAAAAAATCATTTGAAAAAATCCCTGTATGCATTAGGCACAGACCCTGTGCCCTATTGTCTGTTTACAGGGTTGTCTTCCTGCTTTTATATCAGTCAGCTGTATTTTTTTCCTGAGCTTTATGCCCATGTCATTACTGCCTCACTTATTTTTTTTTCTGTGCTAAGCACAATGGTTGGCTGGTTAACTGTGCAGTTGTGAGCAAAGGCACAGACAGATACTCCTTTATGTTTCTTGTTGCAGGCTCTCTTTTGCTATGCATTTTCTTAAAATGATTTCCAAGATTTAAACTAGAAATCAGACCCAGCCTGTGGGGCTGAAACAAACCACCATCAGACAGATGCATTCCTCTGCTTTCACCCTCTCATTAAATCAGCTGCATCTGGGTAGTTCCAGCTGTGCAGAACCCGGGGAAATGATGTCTGAAACAGTGCAACTTCTGGCAAATACCAGCTTACTCCAGAAAAACGATTTTTTAAACTTGACAGCAAATGCAAATGTGACCTTGAGTTCTCGTGATTGCTTCAGATTTTAGATGTTTGTAAGAGGGATGTGTGTGGGTGAGGATTTGTCTATGGAAACTGTATTTACAACCATATGTACAAAATAGAAAAGGCAATACAGTAAAGTTTGGAAGAGAGGAGGCATTACTGGCCTTCCTTCCCCCCCAGTAGAAATTGTTATAGAAGGAGACAGCTGTGTATATTGCTTTAATCTCAGTTGTAGTTGGTGCAGTTTTAGATTTTTTTAGCATCTTGCATGCTCTTATTTCCAAGGGCCTGTCCATTTTGATCAGAACTGTTGAAATAATTGTATCTTTTTAATTTCTCTTCTGTGATTATTTGGCAATAAGTCAAAGAGGAAGTTACTAGCACAGGGTTGTTTAACTTAGAGTAGCTATCTTAAAGCTATCAGTCCTGTCAGATTTGAAGACAACCTTGTAAATTCTGATTACTTGCTCTCTGAACAGTTCAATTTCAGTGTTGAAAAGTCATTTCCAAGACCCTGAAACTAAACCTACTGTCAGTAAATTTCCTCATCTTTCAGGTTGGGGTTTTTTAAGGATAGTTTCTTTTTACTAAGTTCCTGGGCTGTAAAGGGGTCATTTTTTGTTTGGCCACATTTTCTAAAGCTTTCTTCCCATGCTTTTCAGGGATCTGTGTATTTGCAGTGTTAATGAAAATATCAAGCAGTCATCGGAGCTCTGTGTTGGTGAGGCGAGTGTGAGCTCCACTTTTGGCTGTACCCAGTGTGATGTTCCAGCATCCTCCACCTCAGCCATCCTTTCTTTTCATGTAGCCATAGCTCTGGGGATGCCTAGAAGTTCATTTATGTTCTTGCACTCGTTGTATATAAAATAATAACATTATTTGTATTAAATATATGTAATTTTATATTAACTGTAAAGTGATAGCCAGTGATTGCATCATCTAATCAGAAACAGTAGTGTAGCCAGTTAAACCCCTAAATGGACTATTCAGGGCACACAGATTGATCTGTCATCTGAAGACGTCCAAAAGCAGAGGCTGAGTGAAATACAGCAAGTGACAATTCAGTGAGCATTTAATTAAGGTGGAGTTTGTTTGTTTATGGGTTGTTTTTTTTAAACTCTGATAAGTAGGTGGCTGAGACAGTCATGTTTAATGAAAGAGGAAATACAGGGGGTGCTGCAACTTTAAAAAAAAAATTCAGATTTTGCTATTTCTTAAATGTTCCGTGTATAGAATAAAATGTATTTCATTTTACACTTTCCCTTTTCCCTTTAAGTAGTTGTAGTTCAGTGCTTACCTCATCCCTCACTTGAATTAACTTTAGATTTCTTGTTGCTTAGAGTTGGCTTAAAGGACTTTATAATGCTATGCAACATAATTTTGTCTTAAATTGACATTACAGAGTACTCTTGCACAACTAAATCCAAACATCTCTTTTTGAATCTGACAAAATACCTCTTCCACTGCTTTGGTTTTCTTTTCCTCCCTGCAGACTGAAAATGTGATAGCACTGGGATTATTTAGAGACAGAGAATCAAGTTTCAGTGGATTAGAATACTGAACGTATTACTCTTTACTCTCTTGTCAATATTTATCAATTCACAAATCTCAACATTGCCAAGGTTTTAAGTGAGTTGTTAGAGTCAAATTTTGAAGGAGTAATCTACCTTCAATGATGTTTGCAAATACTCTTGAGTGCCTTGATCACTGTTTCATTTTTCTGTGGGAGATGGGGGCAGTAGCCAGGACTTACATTTTAGAAAGAAGAAATTCTGTAAGGTAGAGCATGACAGGAAGAACAGAGAGAGGGATGTAAGCACACCTGTTCAGGTTTGCTGAGTGTCTCTGTGCCTAAGCAATGGCTCAGGCAGTTGTAAATCTGAGCTGTTTTGTAAGCAGACCATGTACTGATTCCTGTAAGGATGTGTGCATTGGGGGAATTTTGCTTGGCTGGCAGACTACAGGAAGTAAAATGCACATTGGTAACAATTGTTTACAATTCCTAGATTAATCAATCAGTCAGGAATGCAAATGAGTTTTTGAAATAAAATTAGAGTAAATTATTTTATGTCAAATTTACTTCATTAGTATTTTAACTTGACAGAGGGGAAGTGGACAACCACAGTTATATCACATCACTGCTAAATCTTTTTCTCCCTGTCCATTTATTTATAAATTCTCAAGAGATGAAATTGCTGCAGATTTAACGGGGGGGGGGAAAAATACACTGTTGTCTGTTTCTCAAAATAGCTTTCTCTGTGTATTTATATGTACGTAACTAATATTTAAAGTAAATACCTTTAAAAGTTTTATAATCTGTGAAAACATTAAAACATTAATAGGTGATATTTATAGATCACTTTGACTTCTCCATATGTGTATAAATCACATTAGATTGTGGCCTATTAGATAAGCCATAGTATTTTTAAACAGTATTCAAAAATATTTGTGCAAATTTACCGTTCAGTAGTGCCATGTGAAATAACTGCCTATTTCTCAAAAGATGACTGGGAGGTTCAGCTAAGTTAGGTACAGTATCTGTATTCTCAGAGATTTAACATTTATGTGATAGCCTGAAGGCAAATTCACTTTTTTGTACAATTTCTAAAAACTATGTAATAAAGAGTCCTTTGAGCACAACTCTTGACTTCTAGCAGAGTGGAAATTGCATATAAAACGCATGGCCTCTCAATTTTTTTTGTTTGTTAAACCTTCCCCTACTTAGAGTTGATTGCTAAAGGCATCTCCGTGTCTCTCCCCTCGACCCTGAGCTCAGTGAAGGCCGTTTTTCTCCCCGTTCTTTCATGCAGGTCAGCACCCAGAATATGAAGATGGGTGGGCTGCCTCGCACTACACCACCCACCCAGAAGCCACCAAGTCCACCGATGTCAGGAAAAGGAACTATTGGGTAAGTGCAGTTACTGGGTGGGCAACAGAAGAGAAAAGAGGGCAGATTGTTCCTTCTTCTGTGGTGGGAGAGATTTAATGGTTTTATTTAACCATTCACAAAGGTCACGAGGTGTTATAACTGCATCCTCTTATACTGATGCTTCTTTGTATGTTAGTGTGATAGTGGGCATCATCAGCCTTTCCCAACAGGAACATTTTTATCAGTGCAGAACACTTAAAATTACATACTGTAGAGTAAAATGTCGTTAGCTGTGGTTTTCACAGATGGTGCTAAACAACTGAAAAATGAGTATGCGGCACTGTTCATTATTTGTGTTGTGCTTGATGAAAGTAATTTTGTGCGAAGTTTATGAACCTGATTTTGACCTTACGGAAATGTGTTATAAGTGAGATGAATGCTGTTTGCTGGTGTGTTTTAATGTATATACATACCGAACATGTTGCTTATTTTAATGCAAGATAATGGCTTACCTTTAAAACAAGAATGGGATGTGAAACTGAGTTTACTGATAGGAGGACTGAAGTATCCGAAGAACATCCTTAATTCTTTTTTCCCCCTCATCCTACAAAATAAGTACTGCAGAGTTGCAGATAAAGCCCATTTTTTAAGCTCACGTTGCTGATTAGTATGTAGCTGTGTTTCGTAGAGTGAGAAATCTGTGGTTTTGTGTGCGTTGCCCTAACGGGCCCGTGGCGTGTCTTGTGCCGTGCAGGCGGCACTCCCCGTACCGCACGCTGGAGCCGGTGCGGCCCCCGGTGGTGCCCAACGATTACGTGCCGAGCCCGACGCGCACCATGGCCCCGGCCCAGCAGAGCCCCGTCAGAACGGCCTCGGTGAACCAGCGCAACCGCACCTACAGGTACCGGCCCGGCCTGCCCGGGGCAGAAACTGCTCCCGGCCTCCCTCTGCCGGGAAGCTCCCTCATTCACCCTGGGGACTGGCAATCTCACTGGCGTGATGAGAATGAGCACTAGTAAAACCAGAATAGGGAATCACTTTAAGATTGTTCACTTAATCCCCTGTTCACCTCAGTTTTAGTGATCTCACTTAAGAGTCCTTAATGAATTACTAGGATTGTGAAGTCTTTCAAGGAGGTAGGTCATGATGCTACTTTACTAAAGGATTACCAAACTGGGGGAAGACTTCGTACACAGCTTGTCTCCTACATGTTGAAGGGCTACTTAGATGCTTATACTTGAACAGTCTTTGATGTTTATGGATTGAATAGGTGAAATTGTAGCATAGTGTTTTGGGGATACTGATAGCTTCAAACATAGAATAAAGCTAAACTGCATTACCAGGGGCTCTGCAGAGACTAGTTTTTTTTTCTAGGATAATTAGTTTCATGATATGATTAGATCTAAATACTTTCCTTGAAATCTTTACTTTTTAAACATAATAATTACTTGAGGATGCCTAAACAAGTGGGCTTAAAAAGATAAGAAAACTGAGTTTTATTATCTTACAACTTTCAGGCTTTAGTAGTTTCATATGAAAGCATACGAATCACAGTCTAAGTACTCCATGAGTTTTAAAGTTATAGGAAAAAGGTCTGTATTTGCTCTGTAGGGGCTTAACAACCCTGGAATGACGTGCTTTGAACAAGGTTCTGGAAGTGTTTAATTTTTGGCAAAGTTCACTCAGGCTAACTTACTGAAAAAAAACCTCTTGGGTTGTAGTCCAAGTGGAGAGTTCAGGAAAGCTCAGCTTTGTATAGGTTTATATTATCCTTCTTTTCTCTTGTTCCCTGTTACTTCTCTGATTTTGTAAGATGCTCTGTGAGGGTGTGAGGGATCTTATGTTCCAGCATGAGCAGCATCATATTCATACCCTGATACTTTGGATTCTTACAGCAGCAGTGGCAGTAGTGGAGGAAGCCACCCAAGTAGTCGGAGCAGCAGTCGAGAGAACAGTGGAAGTGGAAGTGTAGGTGTTCCCATTGCTGTTCCCACACCATCTCCTCCTAGTGTCTATCCAGGTAAATGGAAACTTCGTGTTCCTCTTTCTGCCTCATTTTAACCTTGAGCATTTGCAGTTTCCTAAACTCGAAGGGAAGCCCAGAGTCATTGCTATTGATAATATGAGTTTGAATCAAGTAGTATCTTCTCTGAGAGTGTCTGATGTGCTGTAATGTTCCTTTTGTGTATTAATTTGTTTATCAGAATTTTTTGCCTGGCTGCCTGCATGTGACAAGGTAGGACTGCACCTTTTTTAGCGGGCTGAGGGACACTTCTCCCTTGTCCTTTTAAGCAAATAAATGTTTTTTCATTGGCTGTTTCATAGAAGCATGTTTTTAGAAAATTAGATTGAATGAGAGGCAGGCACAGAGTAAATCTTGAGTACATCAGTGCAAGCCTGAATTGTCACAACGAGATACTTGCTCAGTGTAATGGCCCCAGACTTCCCAGAAGCAGGAAGTGTTATTAGTATTTCTTTTTCCTTTGCTCAGCCTTTTCAGTGAAGAAGAGCCTGTAGTTAGCTTGCAGCGAAGTACATGATGCTTCTGAAACAAAGAGCTGGACATTTTTTGGTTTTCTCTTTATATTTTTCTAATTTATACAAAGCTAAAGATGCTAGAGATTGGAGCATAAATAACAGTGCAAAGACATCTTTCAAAAGTAATACTTTTCACTGAAAAGTTTTGGGTTGTGTTCCCTTCAGACCTGGAAAGAAGTGGATTTGCTTGACCCCCATTTACCATATACACAGGAATGAGCCTTTCTTTAACAGCTCCATTGTTTTCTCATCTCGTGCATTCTGAAATACTGTGCAGCTAATAAATAGCTAACACTGAATAGTCAGAGGCTTTCTCTAATCCTTGCTAACATATCTCCTTATTAACTCCACCTCTTCCTCCTCTCTTCACTTAGCCCCTGCTGGCTCAGCTGGCACTTCTCCCCTTCCTGCTACCTCTGCTCCTGCCCCCACTCCTCCTGCTCCTCCTGCCCCTTCCTCCGCTGCCCCAGATGCTGCTGCTGCTGCTGCAGGAGCTCAGCCCCTTGCTGATGGCTTCACCTCTCCAACTCCCCCTGCTGTTTCTTCCACACCCTCTGCAGGTGAGTGTCTGCTCCAGCTGCTGGGCAGATGAACCCAGATGTGATCATGATCCAAAGCTTTGCAAAGTTAGTTCAGCAGCAGTGATTTATAATTAAAAAAAAAGGTTTAATTATAACTAGAAAATATCTGCTAATACCCAACTATAAGGTCATGGTTACAGTAGACAATTGAAGGTGTGCTGATTTTATTAACAGCAATAATTTTATTATTTTATTATTTTTACATTTATTTAATTCACTAAATCATAATTTTATTTCTGTTTGGATTCTGAGAACCTCATAATTATGTTTGGCAGGAACCAGCACTGATAGTTTTGGGTCTTATGATTCTCTTTCATAAATGCAATTTAAAAAAAGAAAAGTGCATCTAGCAAAGTGTAATTTATATAACTGGCTTCTTCAATGCTGTCAAATGACAAGTCTCCCTTTAATGAACTGATGAGAAGGGCAGGGTTTTTGTGTCCGGTATTAGGTAAAATACAAATTATTATGCAGACTACTATTAAAGCATTTTGTTTTCATATGTGGTACTTAGGGTGTATATTGCAACTTCCTTTTTTTAGTGCTAAACTTCTCATTTTGTCATGTGCTGAAGTTGCAGAGTGTAGTAGCACTTACCAACCATAACACTGTCCTGTATCACCTTTTGATGAGGAGATTGCAGTGTAAAGATCTCCTTCAGACAGCCAAATTCACGTGTAGCTACCTGCTTGCTTTGCTGCTTTACGTTATGGTGGGGGCTGCTTACAGGGGAGGGAGTTGGTTTGTGTGTTTATTAGTGGTCATCTCTTAGTGAAAATTGCACCAGGTTCCAGAAGCATTCTTGAAATTGCATGTAGCTTAAAGGGCTGTGGCTCATATAAAATTAGAAGATCTTTCCACTAGAATCATAACTATGACCGGAAGTTTCTAAAGTGTGTTGAATTTTGATCTGAGATGATCCTGATGTCTAAACTACTTTTATGAAGATGAGCTGTGGCATATGGAGCCTCAATCAGTTTTCCATTTTTGATGCACTGTCAGTATCTCAGTTCTTAAGCCATGTTGTTTCTATATTTTTAAAAGTCAAAATCAAGCAAAGATTAATATTTTAATGACTGTAAATTCACATTCACAATTTCTTAAGAGAAATTTCACATTAGTTACTATTTCTAAGATCTTTTGTTTCCCTGTTTTATTAGTGAGGTTGCTTGTATGGTTTGCCTGAAATAAAGTATTTTAGGAGTGACAGGTCACCACTTATGAAGTCACAGCTTTTGGTCCTTAAAAACCTCTTGGCCCTCTCCCCTCCCGTCTCTCCAATCACCACCAATTTCTGCAAGTGTATTAAGTAACAGAGAGAGCGACACACACACATTGAAAAGAGACATCAGGAAAAATGGGAAAGAATCCGTTCTATAAGGGCTTTTTCTTAGCTATTTCTTATCAGTAAAAAGTGCATTTTTTTATGGTGCACTACATTATTGGTACAAAACAGAGGGAATGTGACGCTGTAGTTCATGCATTTGCTCTTATGCTCAAAAAAAAAAAACTTGTATTTTTATTTACTGACCTAGTAAGAAGTTGTGCAAAGCAAGCACAGCATAATGAAGAACAGTATGGGTTTTTTAAAATTTGTGCATTCTTTTGTTCTGTTTCTCTGTTTACTTCTCTCCTCAACCACAGTGACTATCCCTTCTTCCCTTGTTTTCTTGCAAACTCTGAAATTTGCTTCTAGGACAAATGGTGGAAGCAGAATAGTTTGTGGCGTGTAATAATGCATATGGGAATAACAAATTCAGTTTACTGTTATGTGCAGTATAAAATCCAGATAATTTTATGTGAGCACAGAAGATACCTTGCTTCATTTATTTCTTGCTGGGATGCACAATCAATATCTTGAATACAGAAAGTAATGAAAATGCAGAGCAAGTTTTTGAGTTGTTTTAATTGACATCTCCCTCGAAGAGAGTCTTCTAGTTTGACTTCATTTATTCCATCCTTCAAGCTGTTTCTAACATTCATTTCTCCCCAGATGATTCTCTGAATATCTTCTAAGTGGCAGTAAGATAGGTAGTACTGTGTTTTTCAGTTACAGAGGGTTAACAGCTTTGAATCCTGGAAATGGCCTGCAGTTATTTTTTACATGTATGTTCCTTTGTTGCAGAACTGTAACGTTTTGGGAGTTTTTTGCAGCTTCAGAAATAACTAAATTCACAAGAAGTTATTGTAATACATTATTTAACATAAACAACCAGAGATTATTTTCTTTCATTTTGAGGATTTGTAGCTTAAACACCTTTGTATTTTCCCACTGGCTTTTGTAGGCAGTGCTGAGTGCAGGCAGTTGGTTGAGTTACGTTTTGCATTGCTCTTGAGACATTCGGTGTCCTGCCAGTCTGGCAGCTGAAGTGCTTGACTTTTAGGTTGCAGACTGTCTTAAAATAAAGCACCAGAAACCTTTCCAAACCTTTGAAATTAAATGCAGGTAGAGAGAAGGCAGGCATCATTCTTCTCTTTGCTAATGCATTTCTCTGTCTACCCTAGGTCACCCGGTTCAGTTCTACAGCATGAACAGGCCTGCAGCTCGGCACACGCCCCCAACCATCGGGGGCTCTTTGCCGTACCGGCGGCCGCCTTCCATCACATCGCAGACGAGCCTTCAGAACCAGATGAACGGGGGCCCCTTCTACAACCAGAACCCTGGTAAGAAAGTTTGGCTGCTCCACTGAACTCAGCGGTGATGAGCACAGTGACCTTCAGCTCTCTGAAATTTTATGTTCTGTCTCCATTGCAGATCTTGCACTTTCAGTACGTTGCTGGTAGCCGTGCCAAAGCTGCAGTGCAAGTGCACAGTGTTCAGCTTTTATTATGGCAAGCATCTTAAAAAATGCTGGCTTTGTTGCCAAATAATTTATGTTTGATGTCACAGTCCCTATCAGACAAGCTTTAGTCCTTGACTACACCATGTGCCAGGGACCTGCTTTGGTGTGGGATGGGTATTTTGCACCAGAATGCTGATTCTTCATTAATCAGTCTTTATCTTTTGTGCTTTTTCCTTCTGGGTAATGTACAGTTCAAGCAGTTGTACTCGTTACACTGGGATAGGCATTAGACACCTGGGAGACACCAGTGGTGTTTGGGTGCTGTGTCATCTGCTAAGCCCACCAGTGATGTTATTTTATGGGTGATCTGCCTTACAAAGCAAGAGGAGACCTTACCAGGGAGTGAGTGTCCTGTGTGACAGCATGACACAGTAGCCTTTAACTAAGGAGTCCTCCTTCCTGTGCTTCTGATGGGACCAGGGGGGTTTTATACCAGACAGGGGAGAGTTTCTCTTATAAAACAGCTGCAGAAAGATGCAGGAGAGACACTGAAGGTTTCTTGTCAGTAAATGTCCTATTACCAGCAAAATTGAGTGTTGACTTGCAAGTACAACACTATGTTGGTATTTTGTGGGGGTAGAATTTGCTTTTGGTTTTCTTTTGTTGTTTTTTTTGGTTGGTTGGTTGGTTTTTGGTTGGTTTGTTTGTTTTTGGTTTTTTTTTTTTTCAATTGAGCACTGATCTTGGAATTAGGTCAAATGCTGCAATCTGCATTTAAAGGGTTTGATCAGGTTTGACTGTTACTGTTTGTGAGCTACCCCTGCAGGGTGAGCTGAGCTTGAGATGGAAATGAATAGTCCTGCTGGGCACAGGGAAGTGGAGGAAGTTGTAAGGCTAAATTGTAGCCTAGTTGAAATAGGTCATATTTTCTAAGACCATTATGTGCATATTGAAGGCTGAAGGGGGGAATAAGCAAGCAAGAAAGAAAGGGTAATAGCAACAAAAGAAACCTTTCAGGATTACAATAAAGCAATTTTTGCAATAAAGACATTTTTCAGTATATCCAGAGAGATTTTGATGACTGCTGTGTGTTTTTTGCTTTAGCAAAGGGATAATTCTCTGCAAGTTGCCATTGCATTGTTAATAGGTAAACATAGAAGATGCCAAATAGACTTAAAATAAATTGCGTAACCACAGTTGTCTGTGTATCCAGAAAGAAGGTAATGATTATGGTGATTAGTCTTTGAACTGTAAATCACAAACAAAATACTTCAGTTATACTGGCATATCTGAGACAATATAAATAAGCAAGTTGTAGTAGGAGACTTTTATATATATATATATATATATATATATATATATATATATATATATATATATATATATATAAATGTATATACCAGCAGAATACAGAATTTATTAGCTTTGCAGTTACACTAAACCAAGGTTTGTTTGGAGTTCACCTTGAAAGGAGAGGATGTTCAAGCATGCATAATTGATGAAAGCCCTAAGAACAGAGGCACTGATGTGTCTGGAAGGAGCAGGTTCAGCAGTGGCAGGACAAAGGCCACGATTTTTTCTCAGCATTCCTGAAGAGATGTAGAAAACAAGAGGGGAAAGAGACCTTATAAGAGGCAGAAGAGGGGGCCAGCTATGGCTTTTCTGTTGATTGTAGGCTGTTTGGCAATAAGCCAGTACTGTTACTTATTAAAATGATGGCCTGGTCATGTTTGTTTATTCACTTGACAGGAGGATGAAAGGTACTTGCATTGCCCTGTTCTGTTAAAAGCTATTTCAAGATAATACAATTCTTTTGCTTTGTGGTGAGACCTTTTTAACAACTGAAAAGGAAATATTAAGAAATGCAGACTTTGAATGATCTCAGCATATGTCTGTCCCAAAGCCACTCTTGCCAGCCAAGCCACCTAACAAGTGCTGTAACATTGCAACTTTGGATATCATTATCTAAGCAATGTAGAGCTCAGCACAGGATAAAAAAACGTGTGGGAGACTCTGGGCAAGTATTGAGATGGTGGTTGCACCCCACCCCATCTGTACAGCTGAATTCTTACCAATCTGAAGCAGCCTAGTGGAAGGTGCTCTTGAGCCTTTCTGAATTAATTTACAGCAACTGTGTATTAAATCTGTCAGTGGTCAGTATGGAAGGAAGATGGGAGAGAACGTTTAGGATGATGTTTATACAGCAGAGGTAAAGTTCTTCTGATGCATTTAATTTTAAAAAAATAGTAATAAAATATTTATTTTTATTGCCTCTTAGAGGTCAAACCTAGAGTCATTATATAGCATATAGAGACAATATTGTGAAAGTCCCTGCCCAGTGCAAAGACTGAAGCACAAACTGACGGGTTAAGATACTCAAGGAATGATGTCAGCTAGCGTTAGCATCACCATTGTGATTAAACTACACAACCCAAACTGAACCTGGGAATTTTTTTGTATTTGCTTGGCATGCTTGTCTGGAGTGATTTATTTTTATCCATGGAAAGCCTTCCTATTTCTTTCAAAGAAATATATATAGCTCATGAACAAAGTGCACTGAAGAGACCAAGGAAACTGGAGCTACTCTCCTATGATAGGTATGGATTGTATGAATCCATATGATGTTGAATAGATGAATCATTTTGAAATTAAACACTTTTTTAGTGTATATAATTGAAAAAGCAGGGACAAGGATGCTGAATTGGTGACTATTACTGCTTCTCAGTAGGACTATAAATTTGAGTTCCCTTTTTCTGCTTTGAAAAAGTGCAAGACCAAATCTTTTCACAGCAATCATGGTTACACTTGAAGGAATAAATACTCTGAGGTCATGTCATTTGAGTCAAAGAAACTGTAATAAGAAATATATTTCCATTTTTTCTCAAGAGAAATCAATTAAATGGTGAGATAATGGAACTTACTTCATATGGAGGTACTTTTGCAACAAAAAGGATGGTTGCTGTTATAGTCTTTTCATTCATGGTGTGTGGTTCTGAAAGAAATGTGAATGTGAGTGACAGAAGAAATTCAAAGCACTTAAGATGTTACTGGAATGAGCAAACAGAAGAAATTTTGAGACACAAGTTGTAAATGCTGTAGAACTCTTTTCTCTTGCTATGATAATGTGAATTAATTCTGAAAAATGCTGCATCATACCTGTCAGTTTTCTTACTACCTCTGGAATTAGCCTGAAGTTTATTTTGTTCTGTCTGGTAGCTAAATAAATATACTGGTACATGAAGTATAGACTTTTTTCCCCTTAATCCCTTTGGACATGATTAAATGTTTTTTGTATGCCACATACTAACAAGAAATTTATTATTTGTGCTTCTCCTAAGGTGTGTCTGAAAAATCATCTTGCAACTTGCCTAAAGAATTTTGCAGCATTATTCAAAGTGATACTAAACTCTCATCAAACTAGTTAGCTGATGTTTTAACTAGATAACTGAAACTCACATTCCAGGCTTAAACCACAGTTCAACGTTACAGCATTTGCAATTGGCTGAAAGCATCTCCTTTAACTGGGAACTCACATATATTGTACAAAGGCAGCTCTTATTGTACAAAGAGAGCTCTTCTGGTACCAGTGAAAGGGCTGTTCAGAGATCAGTGCAGAGAAGTCAGGTGGGGAGGAAACCAGGCAGCACATCTGGAATAGGCTCTGTGGTTTGGCAGCAGCACAGACTGCTCTGTTTTGTCAATAAGATCAGAAGTGTTGCATCTTTCAGATCTGCGCAGTTCACAAAAGGCATATTTTTCTGTTTTCTCTGAAATAGCTGCCTCATTCAGTGGGGGTTTTGGCCTACATCTTGGAAAAAAAGAGGTATATCCATTTTCATTGCTAGGGATTCATGGATGCTGTTAGTCACCTCTATAAATATCAGTTAGATTTGAAAGGGGGAGGATTATAGGCAGAGAGTCCTCTTGATATATTTGTTAGTTAGATCTGTCCATAAAGTGCTATATTCTGTAGTAAGAAACTTCATCTTAAGGGAATCTCATAGTCAAATTAGAAAAATGCTTCAGCATGGATGCTTAATGTTATGAAAAAGAGCTGGGTTGGAAATTTTAAAAATAGATAAATATCCTTGAAAAGAGGATTAGGAATATGCTTAAACCACCTGAGCCATTTTTCTTTAAATGTCAGTCTTTTTTATCTCAGCTTCTTGGCAGCCTGCTGCACTGTCTGAGTGGTGATGTTGTCTACTTTCCTGTTTGCTGCTTTGTTGTGTTTCTAACTGGATGCCTCTCTTTTTAATTTCTGTGGCAGCATCCCTTGCTCCTCCTCCCCCCTCCATCCTACAGGTAACTCCACAGTTACCACTAATGGGATTTGTGGCCAGAGTTCAAGAAAACAGTAAGTTTTCTGCTTCCTTGTGCAATGTTTTATTACTGGATGTGGCTTTTGGATTGAGTTGATGAAAGATTTGTCTGTATATAGCCAGAATTCTGCATTCCCTACTGCCTCTGCAAGTTTGTCTGAAATTGTGAAGGGTGGGGAAAAGAAATAATCTTATTGGAGGTACCTGGTCATTCCTTCTCTGAATTTTCCTGTCTCTAGTGTATTTTCACAAGTTATAACTGTTGGTCCCACTTCCATTAATTGGGATAGAGTATTACTTGAAGCAGCTGCCATGGTTGTAGAGACATCTTCATGGCTGTACTGTTACTTATGCTCAGTTTCAGATACTCCTCCCCCCCCACCGCCTGTGGACGAGCAGGTGTTTGATGAGTCTCCACCTCCACCCCCACCTCCAGAGGATTATGAGGAGGAGGAAGCAGCAGTGGTGGAGTACAGCGATCCCTATGCTGAGGAGGACCCTCCTTGGGCACCGAGGACATACTTAGAAAAGGGTAGGTTTGGAGTAACAACTTTTTGTATGTGTTCCTGCCATCCTGCTTTCGCACATGGAGTCTGCCCAGACTCCTTCATACCAGTCTTCGGTATTACAGCGTTTCAGTCAGCAGCAGAAGAGGTCCTGGTGTGTGTTTATAGTGTCTCCATACTGCAGGGGGTGCGGTGTGTGCACGTGCCTTGAGAAACAACTTTCTGTTTGAGGAAATAATAATGTTTGAATGATAGTTCTGTTCTGCTTTCCTGTGGGGCTTCATGAGCTTGGGAACTAAAATAGTTTATGTAGGTGCATATACACACAGATCTGTTCCATCTCACATGGGATAGCAAAACTGTGAAGGAGAGTCTTTAAAGATAAGCTGGAGAAAGTCAGGCTTTTAGTCAGAAAATGTTTCCTGTGGAGAACAAAAGTATAAGAAGCCAAACATTGTCTCTGATGTAGAGACGCATGCAAAAACATAATTTTGATCTGTATTTTCAAAACTAGATGACCAAAACATCGAAAAGGTTGGTCTGTTTTTAGAAACACTTTTAAAAGTAGTAGAAAATAGAACTGCTTTCATCATATGAAGAATGATTAAATAGTAGTTTTAGGATACCAGAAAAAATGAGCTATTGTCATAGATGTGGATTCTGTTGTAGTTACATGAATGTCTCTACTTAGCCCATGCCTTGAGATTTGACCGCTTTGTTGGAATTGGGAGAGAAGTGCTTGGCTGTGAGTTTTTTGTAGCAAGCTTTGAAGCTTTAAAATTAATGGGAAACCTTATACTAAAAGAGGACTTTAATACTCAAATAATTTGTATACTTATACTGTTGGGAATTAAAATACTTTATTCAGCAAAATAATTTATCCTGTGGCAACTCTGTAAGTTCCTATAAATAGTATTCTGCTCCACATGATTCAAAGTGGACAAAATAGATGAAAGTAAGTAGTTCTTCCAACACATTTACCCCCAATTCTTATGATTTAGAATTCCCAATTCTTGTTCTTAGAATTCCCAATTCTTAGGATTTGTACTTGTACTTTTGATATGACCATTTAAGTTCATATGAGAGCACTTTTATGGGGTTAGGGTAGATGACCTTTGCAATAGAAGCTGGGACACCAAAGATGTGCCAAATACAAGAGAGCTACTGTGTATTGGAATGGGATTCAGTATGACCCCGTTCTGGAGAGGGTCAAGCAGTGTGAGAGGCTTAACATTGAACCTTTACGAGCTGAGGATGGAGCCTGCAGCTGAGGATGGAAGTGAATAGCAGATCCATTTGGAACAGATGGAGAAATTGTTAAGTAGGATATAGTTACTGGGGCTGCTGAACTTGAGGACACTGCCATGTGACTGTAACAGGAACAGCCAGCCTGCAGAGTCCAGGGATGTGCACTGCAATTTTCCATTGAGCTCAGTGCTGGACGTGTGGCAGGAAAAGATAAGAAAATGACCTGGCTCTGCAAATCAGATGAATTGAAATGGGTATCCAGAAGGAAAAATTGAACTTTCACCACTTAGAGAAAGTGTGTGTTCACAGATTCCAGCTGGATAATCAGCCTAGCCTACATTTGTGGTCAGTTGGATATAACAAAGTTCAGCCAAACTCTGTAATTGTTGAAGAACCAAAGGTCACTGATTGGAAGAACATCAACCTAAATGAGTAATTCTCTTTTTTATAACTGCATTGAAACACATTCAGACAGAAACTAAAAGAAGCCCCGGCTTAGGCTGACAGGGCAGGATGCCACCTCCTGAGTCAGTATTGCTGCTTCCTGGCTCATCTGGAGCCTTTCTTGCGATGCTGGCCTGGACTCCTCGTAACTTGGGGCATGTGACAAGCTCACAGCTTGACCTGGTGGGACTACAGACTGAAGGATTAAACAGCCTTTTAGAGAGGGGACTGCTGACAGTACACAAATAGCATGCTGGAGGAAGCAGTGGTGATGTAAAAAAAAAAAAAAAACCAAAAACCAGGCTTCAGGTAAATTGGTTCAGGCTTAACAAGAAGCAAATTTTCTTCACAAATTTAAGGATGAGTTTCTTTCTTGTGATCATGAAATAGTGAATCCATTCAGTATCCAAAGGGACTAGAGAACACTCAAAAGTTAGAAAGAAAGGAATTGGAAGTTACCATGGTCCTTGGATGATGATGATGATTATTGTCATCAAGAGAATGAAGAAAAATAGCACAGTGGCTCTAGGAAGACATTTCATAAACCCTTAGAAAGGAATTTTGAAGGACTTAAATTGAATGCATCACATGTTCATACACTTGTTTTTCAAGCTAAAATCATACTTGTTTCTCCATAGGTGTTTTGTTTGCTTAGAATTATATGTCTAAAACTGTACAGAATAAGTTACTTAACAATTGTTGGCACAATTGTGGAACTAACAATATGTGTTTTCAAAGTATGCACATGATAAAAGAAATTCTTTGCATACTCTGATTTTCCACTGGGATTGATCTGTATATTTTATAATCTCTTCTGGATCCAGGTTTCCCTAGTGTTGGTTTGTGTTGATTCCTTTGCTCCCTCAAAAGGGAAATGACCTCTTTTCTTTTGAAAAGAATGATGAGTTTAGTAGGATTCTTGGACAGTGGTTTTATGAGCACATGCTGTTAATTTTTAATCCTTGCTTTAGTTTAGAGTATCTTTCTATCTATCCTCAGCACAAGATTTTAGGATCCCTGTCCAACATACTTTTTTTTCCCCTTAGTGGCAGCACTGCATGTTTCATTGCCAAGTTCTCAAAGCTGTGATTGATGCTATTTGGTAAAGTGCTCAGAGTCTGGCATAGCTAACTTTCTCTATGAAACACATAATGATAGCACCGAGATTGGAAAAATGTATCAATTTTATGTCTATTTTTTGGCATTTCAGGGCTGTTCTATTTATTATTTCCAAGTGCTTTGTCCAATTTCTTTGCCTTTCCTAACAACTTTGGTGCCATCACTAAAGTATTCTGCAGCTGTAAGAAAAATGTCCTGATACAGTATGTGTACATTTCCACCTTCCTTCTTTGTGGCTTCTAACAGGGATTTGCCCCCTTGGTGCTGTGTGCCCTGGGAGTGGCTGCTGGATATTGAGATGCAGGTGACCTTTAGAGATTTAAATGTGGGAGTAGTTAAGGTAGATGGAAGTCTGGGATATTAGCCTTGGCTCACTTGTACTGTGGCCTGAAGGGAATTCTTGCTACACTACCTCTTCCATATTTTCCTGCTCTTTCCTGTGCTGAGACCTGGTTTAGCACATGTAGGAGTAGTTCTGAGTGGTCATAGCCATGGGGATTCATAACCACCTCATTGTATCATTCCACACCAAAAGTTTATCATACACTTGGACACTTCCTCTGATGGGTCTGGAAATAGTAAGAATAGAAGAGTTAAAGGACTCCTGGGTCATGTGCTTCAAAGTGTGAGCTCATACAAAAGGGGATGGAAGCAACTGTTTCTCTCAGCAGGTCTTTCGGTGCACACCTCACACAGGTGAGGCAGTGCCTGTGTGAGGATGATTGGATTTTCCTCCTCCTCCCCTACCTCTCCTAACACTCACATTCTGTTCTTTCCTAGTGGTGGCAATCTATGACTACACCAAGGACAAGGAAGATGAGCTCTCATTTCAGGAAGGTGCCATCATTTATGTCATCAAGAAAAATGATGATGGCTGGTATGAGGGGGTCATGAATGGCGTGACGGGGCTGTTCCCGGGGAACTATGTGGAGTCGATCATGCATTACTCAGAGTGAAGACCCGAGGACAGAACACTGCATCTCCTGCTGCAGGAGCTGTCAGGGCTTCCCAGATCTCCACCAGCCTCTGGGGCCCCATCCAGTATAACTGAATGAAGGATAATTGTAACAACCACTCTTTTGGGTTTGGTTTGGTTTTTTTTTCTTTTCCCCTCTCATGATAAGACAATAGTGATTTGTTTGAACAAATGGCTCTTCAGCTGCCAGCAGAGCTATCCTGAGCTATCTGACTTTGAATTAAGCTGACCCATTCAGATGTAACAAACTTGTTGATTAGCTCATACTTCATTCGAATTCAGACTTCTGACAGGCCTTGGGATCTGTCTCGGGAGTCCCGTGTGCCCTCATGGTACTACCATTGGAAGCAGTGCCTGGCACCGAGGATGTCCTGGATGCTTGTGGTGAAGGTTACTGGCCAGTGGACATCCCTCCTATTTCTACACTACACTCCTGTGCAGCTGGAAGAACAGTCATGTGCTAGCAAACACTGGGATTTCTACACAGAGACGTTCCTGTAACTGACTTCCAGATAGCTAGATGCTTCTTTAGCATAAACACTTCTGCAGCTGCTCTGCACACGTAGGCTGACACAGGGCACGCAGAGCCGGTTTTCATTCACTCACCTTTCAGTTTAGACAATTCAGATGGCTGCAGCCCAGAGGATCCCCACCCCCATTTCTCATCTTCTGATTGCCACATATTTGTTTTGTGTTCTGCACTGATGTAACTGTGCTCCTCTCCACAGCGAGCTCCTTGCCACGGTTGCTGCCGGTTCAAACAGAACTCACAGATGCCGTTGATGGTGAAGGCGAAACAAAGTTTACAGGTCCTCCTGGGGTCTGAGGATTAACTCTAGGGGGTGTGATCTAAGGTTCAAATCTATTCATGCCTGCTTGCACTAGAGAAACTTGCCCCCAACTTCAGTTTTATGCACAATATAATCTTAAAAATCCAATCAGGTATTGTAAATTGGCTATTTTGTACTCGACGACTAGATTTGCATAAGTACTGTGAGAGCCCTGTGCAGAGGCAGGACAAACGGCAATTGTCGTCTTCATGTCTGTTGCCAAAATCTCTTCAGTGGAAGCAAAAAGGGCTGTTGTGTGTACTGGTTTCCCATGGAAATCCAAGCAGTAACTAGTAGTAGTCCTAGCTCTTCCCCTAGCCCTCTCCATTGTTTATTATAATAGGTATTTTGAGCTGTACTGGTGGCTTGGGGTGGAGTAATACCAGGTAAAGGCTCTGTAGCCCCTTGTGATACTTTGCTTTCTAATCTAGTCTCAGTTAACAGTTCTGCTCAGTGATTGTACACAGCAGATCACTGTAAGTGATGGTTATACTCATCTGCCCTTAGGAACATCTAAATGTTACCTGTGGGTAAATATCATACATTAACTAATTAAATTTCCTGTTAAGTCTTGTTAGCCTGCAAATTGAGAGCCTCCTGGGCAAGGGCATCTTTAGAATGTCACCTGGCCAAGTTCTAGCTGGTACCAAGAGTAGCGTGTCCAAGGTGAGACAATGCTGCAGCTGGAGGGGCCAGTGTTAAACAGAGCAGTGCACAGGAGAGCGGGGCTGGATGTGCGATGGCATTGGAACCACTACAGGTAACTGACCCAGCCCTTTGCTTGGTAGTTAGTGCAGTATTAGCATGGAGGTGCAGATTTGGTGCCAGCCTGGGCAGGGAGGTGCCATAGCTGCTCAGAGGGCAAGAGGAACAAACAAATAGGTGTGTTTGTAGGCCATGGAGGAACGTGATCGCCTGCTGTGAGTTTGTGAAACTGCTGTGACAGCACACAAGAAACTGGCTTGGTTAAAGTCTGAAGGAAGGATAACTTTGAACAAACTCATGTGCAGATAGAAGTCACTTTCTCCCTTGTTAATCCACATGTTGTCTTCTTTCTGGAAGCTGACAGCATTGTTTGGGATGAGTGCCAGAACAGATACCCTTTAAGCCTTTTACTCTCTGAAAAGTTTTCTTGCAGCAAGACTTAGAGAAGCAGCCATGTTCAGTTCCCTCAGCCCATCATTTCTGTGGAAGCAAGTCCAGAACCACTGGTTGTGCAGTCACTGGAATAACTGTCTAGTATCATTGGGCAGGTCTAAGCTTTTGGCACAGGGAGGTGGTGCTTCTAGCAAAGGTGATTGAACAGCAGCATTCACAAGCCTTTGGTGCTTACAGGACAGCTGTGTTTTCCAGGGATATTAGAGCTTTCCTGGCTTCTCTCACCTTGGATATGTTTGTGGCAAAAACTGAGCCCACAGTGCTCAAATGCATCATTAGGGCAGCTTAATGATTTCTTAAGTGAGAGCTGAACCTCTGCCTGTGCACCCAAGCTGCAGCTGGCAGGTCACACTTTAGTGAAACATGTCTTAACCCAGTCTGAGCAAGAGCTTGTGCTTGAACACTTCTGGCAGGTGGGTGGCGTAGTGCGTTCTCCCACTGTGTGTGATACTTTATCTTCAGTCAGCTGGTTTTTCATCTTGCAAGCTTTCTGTGTTGTGAGAGCGGAGCAGTGTGAGATGAACGCTTGCAGAGACCAGCACAGAAGATGAGGCTACAAAACCCTTAGTGGTTCCACTTTCAGGACAGCTGTGTAACAGCTCCTGAAGCACTGGCTTTGGTCTGATGGGCCAGGGGTTAGTTTGGTCCCTGCTGATAGAACACAGAATTGTTTATCCTGCAAGAACTGCTGTGGATGGAATTTCTGGGTCACCTCCTGCTGGTTTTATGCTTTATTATGCAGTACTAATGTAAAGAAATTTGTTGAGTTTTATGCATCTTTTTATTTTGTACAGATTTTAATTCTATTGCTTATTTGGGGATGATGTGATGTAATGGTCATAGACCAGGCCAAGGTAAACAGGCTTTGTATATTAATGTTACATAGATTGCATGCTAGTAAAGTCAGTGAGGGTTGTGTTTCCAGTTTTGTCCCTTGTACTTCTCCTTGTCCAAAACCTTCTCTTCCCCGCCCCTTTTTAATTTACAGGTTTACTTTAAAAGGGGGTGGCAAATGGGGGGGTGGGGCAGAAACACCTCAGTATTTTAAATAAGGTGCACAACAATCTCTTTACTGCTGAGTTTTGCTGCTGCAGCTCATGGTGTTCTGCATCACAGGCTGTTGAAGCGGGAGTGTGTACGCATGAGAGGTGGGGGAAGGAGACACTTCATCATAGCCCAAAGAGTGCTGAATGGCCAAAATGTATATGTTTCTCCCTTTGTGAGAACTGCCTTAGCCCAGCCAGCTGTTTTCATTGTGCACAGAAATTGTTCAGCATCTTCTAGCGGTGTATTTTGCCTTGGTTTGCTGTGTATCAAAGGTTTCTTCCTTCCTCTTGGCGCCAGGGACAAAGCTATTAACTACAGCTGCCTCTCCGTCACGTGCCTGCATGAGAGGAGGTGTGACTGAGTCTGTCCACATCTAGTGCTGAAGCGGGTTCATTTTGGTGCCTTCATTCCAGCTGAAGAGAGATAGCTGAGGTCGCATGTGTCTGACCCATTCTTTCCCCTCCTTTTCCCCTTCCCTTCAGCTGTTGCAGCAGAGGGCTGAGAGGGGCAGGAGAGGTGACCAGCAAATTCTATGCCTGAGTGTCCTGAGGGCGTGCCAATGTGCAGTGGCTGGAGTAGGCACCAGAGAGCTGAAGCAATGCTGGATCGCTTGATGGTCTGAGTGGCTAGATGCAGACACTCACTGAGGCACCAAAGAGCCATGGCTCTCACTGGAGAACAAGAGGTGTGGCTTGGCCCTGAGGTAGATGACAGCTTCGTGTGTGTTATCAGGAGGCTGACCATATTCCTGGAATTCAGCTTATCCTTGCAGATAGTTGAGTTGGATGTCATGTGTGTGTCGGAGATGTCTGCTGGTGTGAACCACAGGTCCCACAGGTCCTGTGGTGTGTGGCTGGGTGGCTTACCCGTGGGTGCCAGAAAGGCTTAGACCCAGCTAGTTCTTGCTAGAGCAGTTTGTTCTCCTTTCACAGCTGCTGGGCATTTTCTTTTCTTGCTGCTGAGGGTTCTTGGTGACAGCCAAAGTTGACAGTGGCAGTAATGCAGCTTCTGAAAAGTGCCACTTTTACCTGGGGTGTTTCAGTTGATCATGAAAAGAAAGCGAGGAAGCAGCAGGACTGAGGAGCCTTTTCCAGCAGAGATGGTATGTGAGCTGCCTGCCTGCTTCAGGTGTGCACATGTTGACTAGAGGTGGAAGAGGACTCTGCACTGATCCTGTTGCGCTTCTCTGGTGTCTCCCATGTGTGCCTGATGGTGACTTAATACTGTCCTCTTCCTAGCAACTTCCACCACTTCCTAGCGGATGCTGTGGATGCACCTCTCTGCTGGAAACGAGCCTGCTTTTTTATTAGTTATGTCTGTGGGCTCCAGACATAGAGCAAAATTTCCACACTTTCTTTGCTGGAAAGGATGGAACTTTATGTGGTTTAGTAAACTGGGAGCATTTACAGAGCTTCTCCTCCCAGAGGTGCAATAGGACATTTTGTAAAACAGGTGACATCTGTATTCTCTGCAGGTCCCTTTTGGAAGCTGCTTAGAGGATGCTGTTGGACAGACTGTGGTGCTGTGGCTTTACTAGGAGCAGTAGTTGTATTCAGAGAATCAAGAGTCACTGGTGAAGGCACTGCAGCATTTCAGGCAGTATTACAAACCCCGTGCAGAGACTTCAGTGTGGATGTTGGCAACCATGACAGTAGAAAAGGTACAACACTGTTGCATTCACTAAGGCAAGTATTTACAACACTAACCTCTAGGGAAGGTGGTGGTGGAAACTGAGTACCAGCAGGATCCTGGGCTACAGCTTCTGGGGTGCCAGTTACAAGAATTTACTGTGCTTACAGGTGTGTTCACCTTCTCCAGCTTCTGGCATCTCCCAATATTTGGCATGGCTGCATTTTGTGGATAAAATGGTTATTACACAGAGGTCAGACCAGTACAAGAAGGGAACAAGAAGGGAATGTGTGGTTTGTTTGGGGGATTTTCCCCCACAGTAGCTGAAGTCAACATGTAGTAACAGCCCAATTTACCTACTTCTGATGTTAAAATTTCAAGCATAGTGGGACCCCCACCTCACGTCCACGGAGACATTCTGAAAGCTTGATGCAGCCACGGTTTGACAACTGCTGTTAAAAAGAATAGTTCACAGATCCTGGTGTTCTGCTGCTTTCATTCTTAAAAAACCCCACCCATGTGTTTTGTGTAATCTCCAGCCAATGGAGGAAGAGGTTTGGGGATTTTTTTGGTACTCCAACTGTACTAACTTTATTAGCACCTGTGCTTATTACAAGACATATTGCAAGACAGTGATGGCAGCAGGGGCCTGCTGTCCAGAGGTAAGCCTACACCCAGGACCCTGCTGAACACTGACATGGGGACCCTGCTGAAATGGGTGCAGTACATTTATTCCAGTTTCTCTTTACACCTCTGAAGAATCCTACCACTATTGACTAATAGGAAGAGCTATGTACAAATTTATTTCCATTGCAGCGCCTCGGTAAGTGCTGACATGTCCAAGATTTTTTTGTAAAGAACAAGTGCTTCTTTTCACATTTGAAAAAGTGTCTTTTGCAACTTGCATGGACAAGTAGTTTCTATGAATTCTCTGGAGATGTCAGTGTCTAACATGGATTTTGTCCATGCACTTTTTTCTGAAAGCAGATTACCCCCCCCCCCCCCCCCCCCCCTCCCCCCCCCCGCCCTTTGGTTTGCAGTTGGAGTAGCACGCTCTGCTTTTGCTTTTGGCACTGCTGATGCAGTGGATGGAGGCAGAGCCCACTGTAAATGACCAAGCCCACAGGACTCTGGGGAGCTGTATGCCGCCAGTAACGTTTTAGTGTGTGTGCCATTTGAACCACCTTCCAGTGAGTGCAAAACCCAATTTTTAAATTTTTTTAATTGTACTTGGAATTAATTGTTGCTGTGTACTAAACCCTCTTGTTATGAGCCCTAAATAAAAAGAACAAAGCACACCGCATGTGTTCTGTGAGCGTGCCACAGCCGTGTCCCATTTCTTGTCTTTGGCTACAGACTTCAACGCACTAGGGCCAGGGCTCGTGTCCCTGAGGCTCTCTGAGCACAGCACTTGCCACAGCAAAGGTACAAACCTTGGCATCTGGCCTGCTGCCGCCAGCAGCTCCTTGCCTGCACTCACTTATGTCATTCTCAAATCTGGGCTGCTGAGGGCCGCAGGGTGAGGCTGAGAGCATTTCCCAGCCAGGCTCCCTACAGCCCCCAGAGTGGGGCCACAGCAGCACTTACCAGCCAGAAGCTGCTCTGTGTGAGCAGAGCTGGCCAGGAATCTGCAAGCCTGAGCAAGGAGCAGCTGGGAAAGGTGAGCCTTCACACAGGGTCCTCTTTAGACCATGTAACTGGTGTGCAGCACCTGGCTGGTACAGCCAGCTCTGACCCAGCAGAAAAACTGTGCAAAGGAATAGTGGCAGTTTCCTTGGGAGTGAGCACAGGAATGGCATACAGCTGTAGGCCATCAGCTACCTGACCCCTACCGAGAGGAACCACTGATCTCCTGAAAACACACTATGGGTCTGAGCTTATGAAAAAGGAAAATTGCAAGACAGGATTAAAACAGAGTATTAAATTTAACTACATCTTTATTGAATTGTGCATATTCCATTGTATAATGAGCTATATTGGGTACTCTATAACGTAGTATTTCTTTTGTCCTCTCTCATGCTTAAAAAAGTATATTTATACATATATTTATATATATTTATAATATGGCAAAGCTCCCCACAACCTGATGCTATCAGTCTAAAAGAGCTTTGATTTTTTAAATTTTTTTTTTCTGTTTGGAAAGGGAAGAAGAGGGGAGGCAATCCCATTGAAAGATAAAATGTGCAATTTTCTTTTTAAAGCAGTAAACATGAATGTATTTACAGCACTCAGCACAAGTTTGCCGCACAGACAAATCATCATTGCAATGACACTTCTTACACTTGCATCTCCAGTATTATACAGAATATTCCCAGTGACTGGTAACAATTAGTGTAAGCCATAAACCAAACTGCTCCTCCAGTTCATTTCTGGTCCACTGCAGTCCACTAGGAGGCCTAAGATTTGCAATTAAAACTTATGACAAAACATTTAGTTTTTCTTTTAGAAGTACAAGCGTTATTGTGCTGCACCAAATCAGCCAGCAGGGTGCCATGGGCACAGCTTTGTTTGTTAAACTGTCCTTTGCAAGTGCATACCCAGTTCCCGGTGTTGGTTAAAGGCAAGGGACAGACAACATCTGAGAGTGGCACCCTGTTCTCTCACTAGACAGTGTGCTAGAGGATCAGCAGTATGAGACCCCTGGCAACAGGAGACAGGTGTACACACATCTGCATACCTGGAATTTAGCTCAGAATGCATCTTTGGCATCTTGGGAAAGCTGGAAGGAAATTATTTTCCACTGCAGCAAACGGTTGAGTTCCAAAAGCTCCTAAAAGACAAGTTGCCTTCAAGCATTTAAATAAGTGTCCACAATCTGTTACTGAAGGTCCTTCTCATTCATTTCCACAGCACTAGTTTGTGTTCCTCCAAGTCTTCTACCTTCTCTAACTCCCCTTTACCCAAGATCCATCTGCTGACAGAGAGCTCTCTGAGTCCTTGCCCTACCGAGTGCCTCAGAGCACCAAATGATCATTACCCAAGTCACTATTTCCCCTGTGGCTGGTTAGCAGCAATTAATTAGAGTAATTTACGTGGTGCTGTCTTAGCGTGTGTTTTTCATCTCATTTGCAGTTTAGTGTCTTAAACTTCTCACAACTAGACCAAGCCTGTGTCACAGTATTAGTGAGTGCTGCCCCTGCAACAAAACCCTGGTTTGGTTTTCTTTTTTTGCCCCTTCACAGGAATTTGTTATATGAAGGAAAGAAAATTCAGAAAGGAAAATTACTCAGCTTAGACAAACTCAGAATTCCAAAATAAAGCTTAAAACCCCACCAGCATGTGGCAAAAAAAATCCACATGAAACTATCCCTTGTAGTGTTAAATGCTCTCTGGTTCGGAGTCCGCCCCAGTGGTGCAAGGGAATGACCACAGAGCTCAACACCAGGTGCCACAAATGGGCCCCAAAGTAGTAAGACTCACCTGCAACTGAGGAGCGCTGTGACTCAGTATGTAATCTACACCTTAGTAATGCTACAAGGAAAATAAAAACCCAGTAACCAACCAAACTCGCATGTTCTGGCTTCATCCTCACTACCTTCTGCCAGGAATTCATACTGCTTTTCTGGAGTGCAACATGACACTAGTTGAAATAATACTCATATTATGACCCACTTATAATCTTATTTTGAATAAGAAACAAATATTCCTGTGATAGTACCACTGTAGCAAAACAAATTTGGTTCTATGCTGTTTTCTGTAAAAAGCAGAAAATTTCTTTTTGCCCTTCTGCTGTTGAAATGGCACTTTTGGTTCCTTAAACTGTGGAAAAAAAGAAATTTAACTGAGAGGAAGACTGGCCACACTTTATCTCCGAGCTGATATAATTTATCTGGTTGCCTAAGGGCACAGAAAGAAGGAATTAGAAAACCTTTAAATGGGCAAGCCCAGAACAGTTCATGTTAAAATGCACTTGTTGAAAAAACTGCATCCTCTCCCCTCAGACCTGAAACCAAACAATCCAGGTACCAGCACTTTGTGTCCCTGATGTGTCCCTCACTGTTGCCCTGCAGACAAGGGCAGAGTAAGCTCAGGAGAGGAGCTCTTTGGCTTTGAGGTCATTACCAAGTCAGAGCACTCGGAGGTGGTTTGCCGCAGGAGGAAACCACCGTGCAGGGTGAAGCAGGAAACTTCCTCTTCTGTAGAAAATAAGAGAATGATTCAGGCACTTGTGCCTAACTTCCTCTCCCAGCTACAGGTGTTAAAAGACTAAACAGGGACCCCTAGCATAGCCACCTGAATCATGGTTACCTATGGAAACCTGTGGGTTTTTTTTAGTTTTAAAAGTAATTTCTCATCTAAGTTTAGTGCTGCTAGAAGAGCCTAGTTTTTCCTTTCAAAGTAACTCCCCAGCACCTGAAAGGTGATGTAAGCATCTGAGAGCAGCTCCCTGCTTTCTCCACCTGGGCTGGGGGCACAGACACCTGGCTGAACAGGGCTCTGGTACTCAGAGGTGGATGCTATGCTGCATAGCAGAGAGGAAATGAAGAACAAATGTGGAAAAGATTAATGAACACAGCTGAGCCCTCTCAAGTGCCCCTGCAGCAGCAGAGTCCCCTGACACCCACCTTAACAAGTGGCCAGCCTGTGCCTCATGGAATGCAACTCCAGCCGTACACTCTGTGTAGTTTGGGATCAAAGCATTTTTGTGTCTGGAGTATGAACACTCAGCCTTCACATGCCCATTTTAAAACTGCCAAAAGTATTCCTGCCCATAGTTGTAGCAGGAAGCCTCTTCCTGGTGTCTGAAATCCAGACCCTTAATTTTCTAATAAATATTATGGTGCAATTATGAGATGACTGCACATGGAGAAAACATCTTGCAAAATAAGGTGCAAATACTCACTGTCATAAAATGTATGTACATATATACTGGAAAAGCAAGTTACAGTGGGGGGTGTATCTCATAACCTGAAAAGACAACCAGGTTGTCTGAACCACACTATAGCCAAATTTCCATGCTCAGCTGACAGAAAGAAAGCCAGAGCCTCTCACTGGATCACTACTGCCTGAAGAAGTAAACTGTAAGTAGAAGGAATACAGGGTGCCACCTTTGCTGACATTCATTCTTTTTGCTGCAGACTTTTGAGTTCTATAGCTGTCTCCCAGCAAGCTGTGGGTAGCCTGCAGTAGTAAGCATGGATTAATTGTCTAGGGAGAGATAATGGGGAAATAAATGTGGACACAGGAAAACGAGAACAAAGCTGAAATGCCTCTGAAGAAATTGCACTGAAAACATTGATGTGCTGAATCCAAAGCCCAGAGGTACCCACACTGAGTGAACTAAAGTAAAAGGGCTGGAACTGACACACACCAGTGAGGCTGTCCTGGTGAAAAGAAAGGCAGGTGGGGCAAGCAGAATTCCCTGACTGCTCTCACCTGGGAGCACATGCTGCAGCAGCCCAGGTGCATCGTGCCAGGAGCAGGAGAATGTGCCCACTTCCCTTTCATGGCTAAGGGCCCAGCAGTTCCAGCTGCAGCGAGCACCTTTTGCCCTCTGGTGTGCCTGAGCTCCAGGAGCTGCGCACAGGACACAGCAGCAGGAGGACCAACGTGAAAATTACAGCACCCATGAACTGCAGTATAGCTCAGCAACCCTCCTGGGAAGTTAGTCACCAGCTACACTGAGCATGCTTAAAATCAACAATGCAAATGCTTTTAAGGACACTTTGTAAGCACAAAAATAGTAGAAACAGAACTTGGTGAACAATTTGAAAGATACAAAAAAGTGCCTTTCCATAGCAGTGCTTTAAAAATGCACATAATGGTATATACTTTTATTGCTCAAAAAATCTAGTCTGAAATATTAAAACAATTTCCAGAGGTGCTGAAACAGATTTTTAAAAAATCATATGAAACAGTTCAGCAGAGACAGCACCACTAATTTTTCTCTTTTCATGATGCACTTATTTAAAACTATATAGTTATAGATGTGTAATTTTCCACCTCAAATTAGCAAAACTTTTTTTCCTATTCATAAAATATTCACAAAGACATTTATTTCATGATTTGGACTTTAAAAAAAAAACTTTATAAAAAAGGAATGGGGGATACTGTCACAATATTTCTTAAATATCATCCTAAATTACTTTAAGGAGAGATTAGTTTATATTGGTTTTACACATGTGCAGATACTGCCAGGTCAAGCTGCTGTCTTTGTTTCATTCTTTGGGAAAAAGAAAGCGTTTAAAGTTTGCTTTTGGAGAAAAAGTAGGCAAACAGTGTAATTATTTGCCCTATGAGCCTATTGACACTATATATCAACAATATCCCCATGCTGAACAAGGGAAGCTGTAACAGCTGAAGATGGGGTAGTTACAGTCCAAGTATTTTAGCTGTTTTACAAAGGCTGTCTCCCACCACCCTGCAAGGAATGTGCAGTGACACATAAGACCACTTACACTACCTTATCACAAGGACTGTCATGCTTGATGTGGTGACCAATTGTAAATTTGTGACTAACAAAAAACCAAGCAAACCAACAGTCTATTTTCTACTTATATGGGCCCTTAGATGAAATTCTTAGCAAATGTTATTGCCTCTTTAAGGTTGTTTTATTTCCAGTCTTCTTCCTTGACTGCTAGAAGTGCAACTTCGTAATAAACAGGTTAATGCACTGGTCACAGTCTCTGGCAAGTCACAGAAAACAGAGAATTCCTACTCTGCTTGTCCTGAAATTGCTGCTCCCTTCTCTCTTTCCAGAAGGGAAAGTTTCCTGGCCATTTCCAATCCATTACAAACAATACTTTTTTCACGAATTTCCAGACGCTTGTTTTTGTAAGACACTACATCTTACCAGGCCCAGACCAGGTGAGACTGGATGCTGTGCATGCCTGTGTGAGCACACACCACTTTCCACAGAAACCTACCTGTTCATTCAGGGTAAGAGTTACACGGACAGCTCACCGATCGGCGTGGGTCAGCCTTGGGGGTTGACAGGATTTTCGATTGCAGGAGTCCTGGCAGCTTTCGGAAGGGGTTAACACAAATATATTCATCTTGAGCCACAGAAACAAATGATTGAGCCTATTATCAGTTAGAATGCATAATGGTTTGGAATAATATACATTTATCCTACTTAACTGCATGGACAAATAAGTTTGAAATAATTTCTATCAGTGTACATTTTTAAACTATTTGAAAGGAGGGGGAGGCTCTTTATAGTATAAATATATTTCACTCCAGCCCACTATATATAAAATCTATTTCCTTCCTCTGAACATACTCATTTTCAGTAGTATTATGACCAGAATGTTTTGGTATGTTGCATCTGTACTTTTCAATCAATGGACAACGTACAGTTACCAGCCGAACACCTCAGCTTTGCAGAATTTACCCACCACAAACTGCTGAGAAGTTTGTGGGTTTGGGTTTTTTATTTCCTTTCTTTAAAGTGCCCCCTACATCTCCATCTTTATAAGATTTGACCAGTTAGAGTCCGATTCCAGATAATATACTGACTGAAACAATAAATACGGTTCTACAAAAACATTCTGGTTATCTTCTATAATTGCGACGAAATATATCACAATATATTATATACCTACACTTATTATACATGCACAAACATGTCTCACATGGACAGACACTACAAAAAATTATCTCCCTCCCCCTCCCCTAAATGCAGAAAAAGTAAGAAAATGGGGGTTTGGTCCAATCCCTAAGAAGGGTAAAAGAAACTGAAAGAATGAAGCCAACACCTCTCTATCCACTTTTCCCAATGCAGTATCAACACCCCTAAGCCCCCATCTTTCTTAACCTAGACATGAAAGGGGAATGTCTTTACATTTAGCCATAGCTGCAGTTTGAGATCACCTCTTTTAACGGGGCTATCATCCACAACCCCACATCCTCTCCACGTGCACGGGATCACGGGCTGGGCGATCACAGAGCAGCCCACAAGTCATGGAGAGCACTGGCCCTGGGGACTGACTACCAGTCCCGTGACAGCTTGGTGTTCTGATCCCTTTTGGGGGGTGCAGGGGGCGGCCCCCTCCGTAACGTTGCATAGCCAGATATATGACTGCCCCCAAAGCTGCTGGTCTTCTGCTGGTCAGCCAGCAGCTCTGGCGGGGGTGGAGGCAGGGCCATGTCGTCCATGGTGGCCGTGGGCTCCGTTCTGGACATCCGCGCGGAGGAGAGCGAGCCGTGCCGGGTGATGGATTTCCGCTGCAGCGTCCGGTTGAGGTCTGCCAGGAATCCCGGCTGAACGCTAAGGCTGGACTTGGGTGAGGTGGGCACTTGTGGGCCAGCTGACCCTGGGGGCTCTGCAACTTCTGCCTGCGTCAGTCGGGTGCTGTCGTTCCGCTTGGGGCGTGTGGGTGGCGGGGCTTTTTTCACAGATGGTTTTGACCATGCCTGTGGCTGGGGATTTACAACAGCAACTTTAGGGGAGGTGCTGCCTGAAAACACAGATGGAATTTCTACTGGAGGGGGAGGAAGATCTATTTCAGGTGGTGGTGGTGGGAAGTCTGAATCGGATGGCGGTGAAGGGAATTCAACCACAGGTTCCTTTCCAGACACACTCGGAACAGAAGCCTTGGCTGGGATCCCACCTTGTGGAAGGACAATGGGCAGACTCACACCAGAAAGGTTGAGCTTTCCTGGCTTTGGAGGGGCTGGAGGAGGCGATGACTCCTTGGAAGGAGATCCTGACGGCTCTGGGGAGTGTGCAAATTTGCTGACAAGGCGGTCCACCGAAGGCCTCTTGGACTCATGGTACTCAGCAGAGCTTGTGGACTTGATGCTGGAATTGCGTTGAGGCGTTGGAGGTGGTTTCTTCCCTCCAGGGCTTGATGTCTTGCCGGCCTTTTTTACTGGAGACCCTGATTTGTCAGGCGGGGGAGAACCTGCAGAGGAAGCTGGGGAAGGAGGTGGAGGAGGAAACACTAAACTGCTCTCTGGTGGAGGAGGGGGGAAATCTGGTGAAGGAGCAGCAGCAGGCTGCCATTTGGGCTTTGCCTTCACTGCTGGAGGTGACTGTGGAGCCACACTCAGTGGAAGGGGTTTCAGAGGCTGGGTCTCAGTGGCAGGTGGCGTGGGAGGCGGGGGGAACTGGCTGACTATCTGCTTCACCACCGACGGCACTGGGGACTGAGGGGATGGAGGAGGCTTTACTGAGAAACTCTGCTGCTTTGGGAATGTTGCAGGGGGAGTGGGGCCAGGAGGGGCTGGGGGCAGAGGAGGCACCTGGGGAGAAGTGACACTTGGTTGTTTCTTTATTGCAAGGGGCAAGGCTGCAGTCACAGGGGGAGTGACATGTGTGACCCCTGGTGACGCTGCCTTCCCACTAGACTGAGGGGGCAAAGCTGCCATGACAGGCTTTGGGGGTGCCTGTGGTGGTGGTGGGGCAGGCACAGGAGGAGGCGGTGGTGGCAACGAGGAGGCAACAGCGGCCTGGCTTATATTTGGTTGAACCTGATGTATCTTGGGGGGCGGTGGCGGTGGCGTGAACTGTGGCACAGAGGGGGCACAAGGTGCCGGCTTCAGCTGCGCCATGGCCGAGCCCGGTGTGGGGGGCGGCGGTGGGGGCGGAATGCCGTGTAGGGCGTCACCGCTTTCGTCTGTGGGGACACGGGAGTTGCGACAGACACGAAGGGCCGACCTGCAGGCTCCACTCGGGCCTATGGGGAAGGGATTTTTAGTGAAAGTGGAAAGGGAGAAAAAGACGAGAGAGGGAAGGAGGGAGAGAGAGAAAGAGACAAAGAGATTATGAAGTGAAGGTCTAAATGTGCCCAACATTAAAAATTAAGTGGCAGATTACAGCATGCAAGAATTATTAGGAAAACACTGGAGCAAGAGACAATTCCATACACTGACAAGCCTGGACCATGCAAGGGGAGGGGCAGATAGGAGGGGAAGCCGGCAAAAATCAGTGGAGCCAGTTCTGCTCCAAGCGAAGATGGTGTCAGAGGGAAAATACACCAGCCTTGTTCCTTCCCTGGAGCAGGCAGTGGGACCCAGTGAGAATTACTGCTGCTTTTGGGCGAGAGTTTTTTTTTTTACACAAACCGAGCCCCCCCCAGAGCACCCAGGCCATGACAGAGACAGAGCCAAACCCTGCAGACATCTCAGCTCAGTATGACTGGAATCAAACCACACACAGTCTCCCAGAGCATGTCAAATCGTCAAGGCTTTAGTTCAGGCCTTACACTGTTCAGTGTTACAAAATGCAGAAATCCTGAACTGCTCTAAAAGACAGAGAGCAAGCTCTGCACAGGAATAGTACTGAGATATTTTTCCTTCACATGCGCTACTATCCGTAACTGGCAAGGAAAAAATAGGGAAGAAGAAGAAGAACCTAGTTTTCCCAGAAAATTTCCCCAGAAAGAAATGTTTAGACATCTGCAAAACAAAGTACACTTGGGAAAGTTACACATGCAACTCATATGTTAAACAGAAAAAAAAGGAAAAACAGGGAACAGCTGACTAATGGAAGGATCAATGGGAAAGCAGCAGGCAGTATTTTAATCTACTCGTGTTGTGCTCAAGTTAAGCTGTTTCTCAAAAACTGTAAGCCTACATTCCTCTTAAAACGACAATTGCATTACTCAAATTTATAAACATCCTCCACATATGAAGTGTTTTGGCTACAAGCCAAGTTGTGAATTTCACAGTGCAGAGAACAGAAACATGCATTAGAAATACACCACCACCACAGTGATGACCACACTGGGTACCTATACCTTATTAGTAGACACTTTGCAATAAGTAAGCCAAATTTTGCTCATCTACACCGGAAGAGAACGTTTGCATATTGCTTTGTTCTAAACACAGGTGCGCAGTGTCTGTATGTGCAGAACTCCATCAAAAGGATTAGAGTCAGAAGCAATAAACAGTGATTTTACAACAAACGTGGGGTGTGCCTCTACCTGTCACATTAGGTCTGGAAGGCAAGAATATTAACAGGTCTGGAACTAAATCAAGGTGTTTACATTACAAAACAGAAATCTTGATCTCTTGCAAGTGTTAGTCTGTAAATTACCATTCTCCCAATCACCCAGGTTAATGAATTTTCAATTAGCATCACCTGACCTTAAGTGTGCCCTGCATAAGGCACCATGGGTGTGCTGCCCTTAGTTGTGCTGAGCTTCACTTTTGACACCTGAGACAGCAAAAGGCAACAGGAAAAATAAAGGCGGCATAAAACAGACAGAGGGAGATGAAGGCATAACAGAATAGCCCCTGAATGGCAAGACCTTGGGGAATCTTGAATTTGTCCCTTTAAGCAGACACAGTGAGCATGCATTTGGGTATTTGTTGTAGCATAGCGTTTGAAATAAGGTGTTCAAAATCTAACAAGCAAAATGAGACTCAATGAGCTCTTCACTGCCCAACTGGGGACAAATGAATAAAGTATTCTTTGGGCAAAGAGCAATCTTTCAAGATATGAAGCAGATGGATTATATGCATTTTGGGAAAAGTTTTTCTTAATCTTAGATATATTTGAAAGAAGGTGGTGTTTTCCTTATACCCACTGAAGACAGCCATCTTCACAGTGAACAAATTAAACATTCAGGACACAGAAAAGACTATTGGGCATCTCAGGAGGGGGGGGGCCCTCCCATCTCAACAGAATCAAATAAATTTCAACATCCAGAAACAGTCTGTGATACTTTCTTTACAGAAGAACCTTGAGAGAGTTTCATTTGTCCTTTTTTTGTCCTTATAATTATGTGATGTCCTTCTGTGTATCTTGAGAAATTATTTATTGCATACTGGCAATTCCTATTTGTAACATGCATCTTCATGACTATCTGGAACTCTTAAAAAAAAGCTATAAAAACAATAGTATCTCTTTTTATGTAAACTGTGCCCTTTTTTTTTAGCTATTTTTTTTCCTGAGAAAACAAACTTTTGCAACTGAACTGTTTGCCATCTCTTTTCCCATGCTTTTGGACTGGTTACCAAATTTAGGTCAAATATGATAGATCTCTAGCAATCTCAGTATGTTTTCGACCTCAAGAAATTATTGGGAACTTACTGGTAAATGAGGGAAAAATGGGCAGAACTCATTATTAATTTGCTGAGGCACTAGTACAACACCCTGGCTGGAAAGAGCACCAATGCATCTGCCTGCTGAGACACAGCATGCTCTGTTCTGCCCTGCCTGCCCAGGGGAAGGAGGCAAGGCTCACAAGGTGGGAGAGAGCTGTTGCACAAGGGGAAGGGACATGCAGGAAAGTTCTGCCACTCGGCAGCAACCTGCCCACATGAACTTTTTAAGCCAGCTCTGACACCAAAGCACTGTAGCAAAGCTGCCTCTGAGGTAACTGGAGACTAATCTGACTAAAGCACGTCTCAGTATCACTGGTAACACCTTCCCATGTAAATTATAATTCTTGAACACTGCTGTTGCCTTTCTTGCTACACAGTTTAACATTTTCCACTGCCAGTGTGATTTCCTAGTTATTCAAGTTCCCCGGGCCAGATTTACACTGTAGTTTCACTGAAAGTAAATTTGTCACCAATTCACTCAATTGTTTAAACACAGCTTCTGTAAGTTTACACAGTTCATTTCATTTGGATTCTCTGGAAGTTTTAGGGCAACCCATTTACCTGTGTTATGCATAAGGTGAAGAAATATACCTTTTCTTGGATTTGCAGAAAGGAATTCAAATTGATGAAATCTTGATACATGGATAGCTTCCTCAATGCAGGAAGCATTCTGAGTATTTTATTTTTACCATGGCTTTAATAATGTAGCATAAAAATTATTGGGGTTTAAATAAGCAATTGCCAGCAGCACTACAGACTCGATAGAGAACAACAGTAACTCCAAGGCAGTGAACTTCAAACATTTGCTTAAAATCTCACAGCCAGCGTATGTACCAGCAGGATTTACACTGAACCCAAAACTTGAGGAAACAGTAACATTATCATTCTCACAGCAGTACTCTTTCACCTCTGTTGGATAGCAAATGCCCCATCTCGTGCAGCTCACTCCTGCAGAAATGATGCATCCTATTCGCACACAGGAGCCATCTGCTGATGGACATGCACCATGTGTTGCACTCATGCAGTAGGAAAACTTGGACCACAACTTAGCAAGCTACATTCCTGGACTGAGTACTACATTACTATTAGAATCAGACAACTTCCAAGCCAGCAGGCATTGAAGAAAAGTTATGAATCCCAAAGGATGCAGCCATGTCAGCTTTCACACTGTCATATGCTTTCTCATTTGAAAAGGAGATGTGTTATCTTAGTTTTAGTTATTTATCTGAAGCACCAGTGCCAGGTGTATTGGCCTGTGGTTTTGGTTTTAAAAAACCTCCTTCTCTAGCTTGAAGCTGGGGTCTGGGGGAGATTCAGAACTGACCGAAGTACTGACAGCTTCTCGTAGTGCACTTCCACACGTAGCTGCTACAGTTAATGACACCAAGGCTGTTCAGGAACCTGGCGATTCCTTCAAACCTGACAACCAACAGCTTCAGCAGAATTTCTCCTGTGCGTGGAAATCTTCCCCAGGAACTACAACAGTTAACCATAGAAAGAACAGAAAACTAACCAAACCACAAGAGACCTGAGCCCCAGCCTCAATGGGTTGAAGTCTTCTGTAACTCTACCAGCAACAGGAGATAGCGTATCTGCCTTAATCCACAACTGCTGACAATGTCAGTACTTTTGTTTTGACCATACCTGAGGTTACTGGCTCCATTTCCACCTAACACAAAACTTTTGAGTAAAAACTACGGAAGGACTTCAAAATATATATGCCTGCTTTCAGGCCCCAGTTATTCACATCTTTACAAAGGAAAGATGTGGCTACTTAACTGGAGAAAGATCTTAGTGAAAGAATTTCATTCAACTTGTTAACAGCTTATCTTTTTATTTTGTCTTCATTCAACATTAGTAAATAAGACTCTGTGAGAGGGGCTGTATAATGCCTTCAAAGAACAAAAAGCTTCTATGCACACAAATAAAAGAAAGAACAGAAAGCTGCAGGGCTTAATTACCTGAAAAAGTGAATCCTAAAAAACAATTATATAGCAGTGTAAATTAACCATGTAAAACAGAGAAGAAATGCCACTCAAGACAGACGTGTAAGAGGACAACACCGTCTCACACATTTTGTTGGGCGTTGGTTCTCAAATTAAAGTCTTCTTGTTACCTTGCTGGATTCCTCCAGTTGAGTGCCTCGTTTCCAGGCCTCAGAGAACATGGAGCTGACAATGCTTTGGGAACGGACATGTCCAGCTGTCTGAGTGTCAGAAACCCCACTGTCAGACTGATTAGAATGATTTGATTGAGATTCTGTTCAGGAAAAAAGTTATGGAACAGTTAGTATATGTTTCTGGATGTAAGAGTAATGTCAATACAATGCAACTCTGTGACTTGTTAAACATGTGCCCAGACGCCACCGCTTGCAGTAACGACTGTGTAAACTCTAGCTCACATCCAGGCCATTTCAACTGATGTCTGGTATTAACCAAACCTGAAGCTGCACAAGGATGAGAGCATGTCAGATACATTTTGAAGTAAAATCACACTGCAGCTGTATGGGTTCTGAACCATGCCACATTCCTGCACTTTGGGAAATGCCCCATTTCATGCAGTGCATGCAGCCTACTCTCTCCAGCACTCCCTTCCAGCACAATCTTAAAAATGTACCCTGGGCACAGGCTGTGGACAGGCAAACTGCACCAGCCAAGGCAGGACACTGCTTCCAACAGCCCATTCCTCAGCACAAGAGAAGGGCTGGTGTGCATCCTGCAAGTAGCCAACATAAATGATGCTCTGGGTCCACAGGGTGTCTTGACAAGACAGCAGCAGGCAGAGCCAGATCAATTTATTCAGCCTGGCACCTGCTTACTGTGTAATCCCAAAGTGTCCTGGCACAGGCTGGAATGAAACTTTGGCAGAACATGCTTGGCTAGTGAGCTGTGGCTCAGCTCCCTACAAGAATTTATACTTTATCAGAAAAACACCCAGCTTGGATGGAGAAATTGTCAGTGACCAAGAATTTACTGCTATGCCACACAGTTGAAACAACAAGGTACCTTCCCAGTTAGGCTGCATTTGCTTAGCTCGTTCTTACAGGCTACTTTCTGAACCTGTGCAATTCAGTAGCATTACTTTCCAACCTGTATGTGTGGCAGACAATACACCTTCACATAACAGCAGATTTTCAATAAAGAACCTAGACCCTGAAGGTTCTGAATAATCTACCAAAGAAAGCATCAGTCAGCTCTGAACAATGAAATTACACTGTATAAACTATTTATCAATTTTTAAACTGTTACATGCAACAAGAAACCAGCCCCAGTTCTGCTGAGAGATAAACAGGAGCACATTAATGCACGCATGCACAATTTGACATGGGAATAGAAACAGTATTTTCAAAGTTTCCTCTAAAGAGATTGTGTGCATCTTTGCCTTTGGGCAGGGGCTTGTTCTCATTTTCCAATTTCAAATATTTCAGTCAACAAAGCAGTTTAAGAACTACGTATATATGTTCTAGGCATCATTACAATATAAATTTGATTTTTCAAATAGGTGAACATAGAGGCATCAGGAATTTGAAATTATATTTCCTCCTCCCAGTATAAGAAAAACATTGGTTTTTGAAGGTGAACAAGAAACTGCTGCATATTTCAAATACAGACATCACTGCAAGTAATACAGCGAAACAGGTTTTTACCTGTATGCATATATATAGATATACATGTACAGAATGTTACAGATAAAGTCTATGTTTTGACTAAACATAGCATAAAAGACTTTGGAGAAACAGTCCATTTTCAGCAATAGTCTCTCTTGAGGCATCTAGACAGCAGATAATAAAGGCAATTCAATCTCTGTATTATGAGCTAGATCACATTGTTACCTGGCAAACTAGATGAGCTGGAGCCTGACTTGATACTGGAGCTAGACAAGGAGGTCCAGTCATATGCTGATTCTGTTCTCTTCAGTGCTTCCTGATAGTTCATGTAAAGCTGCTTCCCATACTAAACAAAATCACAAACAAGTTTAACAACTCTATATAGGCTGTACACTCTCTTCAGACTGTTGAGCTCCACCTCTGGCTTCTCTATTAAGTCTTTCCTCCTGCCAGTCCCCCCAAAACAACACAGGCTCTATGTTAAGGAGTTCAGGTAATAGTAATAGTATTAGTGAATTGCTGAAAGAAAGAAAACCAATTTATTTATGCTAGAAGAGACAGTGTCAAGCAAGAAATGGCCCAATGAATACACTAAGACAAGCTGAGGATCTTGAAAATCAACTCTATTTTCTAAATTCTCTTTTCCCATAAGCCTTCTTTTTTAAAATCTGAAAGGAGCTGGCTAAAATCTATCTGTGATGTCAGACCTGTGTCATGTGACAGGGGTGCAGCAGAAACAAGAAGAAAAGGCCCAATTACTTAATTATTATAACAAAGCCTCTAACAGTTTTGCTATGGAATGAAAAATGTAAGACGATTTTACAGTTCATGTTCAGAATAGTTAAACAGAGGGAAGTGAGATTTACCATGTATTTTGCTAAGTAACTGTAAATGGTTTTAAGCAGATGATGACAACACTGCAGGACTGCCTGGGGGTTACCTTAGCAATGCGGATGCCATTGATCCATTGGTGTAGAGTTCTTACATCATCGCAGCAAAGATATTTGATGTACTGGGACTTCTTCTGGATCTGAGGATGCTGCAAAAAAACTGTGCATTCTCATCAATGTTTTCATAGCTAGGAATGCAAGGAAAGCATTTAGCTGTTGATGTCTACAGAGATAAACCTAATGCTGGAAGCTCTTCAACAGTAGTGTGTATTTAACCCCACTTAAAAATGTTCCAGAATATTTCAGGAGGTGAATTTCAATGGGGATTGCTTGACACACACATTTGGAAGTGTGTCCAGCACACACTGATTTCAAACACTAAGAAAGGGCTAGTCTTTCACTATTCTAGGGCTGTAGTACTTTTGACCCACCAAGAGTCTTCTGTACCTATGGACTGACTCACCACTTGACAGAGACAACTGATGTTTCACCTTGCTCCCACATAAAAATCCCCCAAACTAGAGGAAAACAAACACACTGGTCTTCTCTACCTTTGCAGGCTTAAGTGAGACACTCCGCAAGTGACACGCTGTTAAGCACAATTCTATTTTCAGCTTGTAGAGCCTTCAAGGCTCCCACCTTACTGATATCTCTCAGCTATTGGGGTAACTGAGCACCCCAGTTCTTAGAATTTCCTCTGTTAGCTGACAGCTCAGTGACACAACAGAGTTTTGCTAGAGGACTGTATGCATTTAAGTTTTACTGAAGACTGTTTGAAACATATATCCAAGAACTTCTAAGCTTTTTCAGAATATTCTATCCTGCTGCCTTCTAACACAATTATTTTAAAATGAACATAAGATGTTTATGTCCATAAGAGAATATATATAACAAACTTTCTTATGATAGTAGATAGTATTTTTCACTACCAGCCTCCTACACATACATGTTGTATAACAAAGAAGAGTCTGTAGAAGCAAATACAACTACTTCGCCAGCTTCTTTCTGGACTTGTTCAAAACTTTGGTTATACAGAAATAAAAGAATTTCTTAGAAATCTGACATTTTGGACCAAGGAGCTAACTTTATATACTAGCACACCAATGTTACATTTAACAATAGCAGAGCACCTAATGTGAGCATACTAAGTTTTGATATAAACAAAGGAGTGAAGATAAATCCAGTCTGAACATCAGTAGAGAATTGGGCCTTCAGTCTGTATTTGCCATTTACCTGTCCCCAAGGAGAAACTTCCTAGTTTAGTGAACTTTGTGGCACAAGACTCTATTTTAAAAACTGTGTGGCTTCTATACATTAGTACTAATTGAAAATATTGATCTAACATTATAAGAACTGATGAAGGCAGAACCGAATCCTGCTTAATATCATAATTTGGTGATTCATCAGTTCCACATAGAAAATACAGCTTCATTGATATAAGCTACCCAACTAAATCTACCCCATTAATTTACCTGGGGACAATTTCTACACATCTTTGTGTCTTCAGTAACGTTACCATTAAATTTGATGCTCAGATTGGCGATATTTTTAAAAACTAAAATCTACTTTGTATCGTCAGAAAGTCTGAAAATAAAATTTACTATTAATCTGTCCAAATGATATAGATGAAAGTGACATGTAAGTAGAAAAGTCAATTTACTTCAAGGAATTTATATATACCTACAAATAACTGATTTTGTTTTTTTTGCATTCAGTGACCTATAAGAACGTGGAAAATACTTCCAGTTTTAGCTGTGTACTTTCTCACCTAATATCATATCCCATATTTAATACTCTGTGTCTCCTCAGTGGGCTCAAAGACATGTTTCCCTGTCCACTGGAACATGAAATCCTTTTTCAGGCAGTGGACAGGCAACCACACACTCCAGGCACAGTAAACAGTCTAATGTACTGACATGTACAACACCACATGAGCTCCAGGGCAGGGAGGGGAAAAGTGCACTATAACCACACCTCTTGTTACTGACACACGAAGATGTGTTATTTGCCTGAACACAGTGTGAAAGCCTGTTTTAAAATAGCTTGGTACCCAGCTATCTTGCAGGAACTGACACCATTCTGAACACTAGGTGGGAGTCAACAGAAACTAGGAGATGTGTTGATTCAATTAAAATAACTTTATGAACTCAAGTCATTAGATGCGTTTAAGATCAGGTCACCAGTTTTATAACAGTTTTTGCTACTCATTCTTTCTGCCTGGCATTTATACTCAGAAGATATCTCCTCTACAACATCCCTTTTCCCTCAGGTTGGTTTATTAAGGGTAGACTTGAATCTTTAATATTAATTTCTCCACTACTCTGGACCTACACTGAGAAGATAACTCCCTGAAATTAGCATTTCAAGAGGCATTATCTCTTTGAACCTAAACAGTTGTAAGGTATAGAGTTGCCAAATGGAAAAGAAGTCTTTAGTGTATGCTTTAGAGTGTATGAACAATTAAATAGACTGGGACTCATAAATCTGGAAATAAAACAATTCAGGGCAATATGAAAACGGCAACAACTGCTCACTAACTGTTCACATTGTATACAAGAACTAGAGGAAAATTAGATTAAAAGCAGCTGATGGTTCAGAACAAGCAAAAGTGTATTCAAAGTACAGCCAACTGCAGCAGTGTTACCTTTAGCACTAAACAATAGTCTGTGGGTGCCTTGTATTTGTTCCGATAGTCCTGTCCATAGTAAACACTGACATGGTCTAGCTGTAGGAAGCACACGAGATCCCGTGACACCTAGTAAATACAAAAATGGTCATTTGCAAGGTATCTTTATAAAAATTCACACACATTGACACAATCTGTCTAATGTTAAGATCCAATACTAGTTAAGATCTAGTTAAGATCAAATATTAGTTTCAATCTGATTCAAAAACTACTGACACAGGAAGGGGATACAGCTACGCATAAACTCTTTCATTACAGCTTCATTTTTAACCGAATTCACTCTGGTTTTGGTGTTTTGTCTGCATTTTGCCTTTTGACATTTTACATTGGACTACTACAGTTTACTCAAAGCAGGCATCAGGAGAAATTAAGTATGATTGGTTGAGCAGGAATTTATCAGCTGCTGGTTATTTTTCACCTTGGTAATAATCAAGGTGTCCAAATTCCAGTGTGACTGTAAGTAGAATTCTAAAGATGTTTGGCACTGAGTGTAGGGCAAAGAATTTCAAAAGGCTACTCGCATACAGATTGTTTTAATGAAGCAAAAGATTACAGAAAGAACATCTGACATGCATTCAGCTCTAAAGGGAGCTGTCCTGCTGATAGAGGTTTCCTTTTCATTCCCAGATGTGTGGGAGGTGGACTTCCTGCACTGGGAATCATCTGATGCTGTCAAGACTGATGGATTCATGGATGACGTGAACTCACAGTAGTTCAGCCTTGAAGCTGTAATGTATTTGTAGTGTCTTTCTACTTGTTCTGCATTACTGACACAGAGAACAGCAGTAAGTGATCCTGAAGAAATGGAATTACATATACCAGTTTCAAAAAATGTAGCACCAATTGGTCCAAAAAGAATCCCATTTATATGAACTAACCAAACATAATGAAATTATGCAGACATTGTGGAGTTGGTCTGATACTTCATGATCGACATTTGCAGAGCAATTTGGTTCTCCATCCAAATTCTGCTTCAGCAAAGACCAGCTTCTTAGCTCCACCAAAAGTTTTTTCTCAAGTATTTCTGAACAACTAACCTAAGAAGCAGTCCCCTGTATTCTTGTATTTTTAAACTTGGGTTACACCCTTCACATCAAGTGCTACCACAAAAATTCACACAGTATTTCCAGGATAAAGCCAGCATTTTAATTAAGGGATGTGGCACTTGGAAAAGCACAGCTAAGCCAAAACTTAAAGCCAACTCTTATGTGCACTGTTTACCAGCAATAAACAATTCAGAGCAATTGCTTTAAGTAGCATACCTTTGCCTTCCCTTTAGGGACATAGTAGATTCCAGAAGCCCGAAGAAGGAAGTAACGTTTCTTCCAAGATTTCTTACCGTCCTCTTTCAGCCACAAAACTCCCTCAATCTCTGGCACAGTTACAGAACTTCCACAGAAGCATTCCTGCCAATAAACAGAGCAGTTTGAGAAACAGACAGAACAGAGAGCATGCAGTGGTTTGTTTTGAATAACTGAAATTCTTAATCCAAGGAATGCACTTGTAGCAGGGACAGCTCTTTTTTCACATGAGATATGAACTGCAGATAAATCACAGAAGCAATAAGGTAATTCAGACAAGCATGATAGGTTGTCTCAGCATTTGCTCCATGCAACAATGACAGAAAAATCATTAGCAGCCACTGTAAAGATTTTCTGACCACTGCTTCTCAGTAATAGATCCCCATGGCTTTACTGGCTTTTAGGTCACCTTATCTAGCCTCATATGTATAAGCACACACAAACCTAACTGTGCATCCATCAGACACAGCTGCAATGCATTCAGGAGTACTTCACTGCCACTAACTGCCCACAACACTGCAACTTCTGCTAATGTTCTATTTACAACGAACTAGCAGAGAAAAGCAAATGCTTTAAATACACTCCAGATTAATATGCAGCACAGAGACTTATGAATAATCTTAGAAGACAAAAAGAGTTAAGCAGAATTACAATTCTCTGCATGTTAAGGCTTCAAACAATTTTTTCATCCACAGTATACATACATACACTTATTAAAACCCATATTAGCAATATATTAATAAATGCATATGCTACTTTTAATTTAAACTGTTTTAAGTTTAATCCAAAATTAAATACCCCAAATAACCCTTTGGGTAACTGTGCAAATCATAACCATTATTCTGGAAATCAAGTGGAACCTATGGAACTTCAGCCATGTCACAAAAGTAATTCGTTTTCAGCCTATGAAGGCTATATTTACTGTCTGCTTTTTTTGCTCCACACTTTTATGTTCTTATTTCTGTAAACTGGTTAATGTGTTTGATAATAATTAGTTTTCTGTCATGCATTTCTTAAAATTCAGTATTCTGGTTTCTTAAATTTTAAAATGTAATAGAAAAAAAATTTACTTCTTTATTATCAAAATTTGAAATATTAAATTAAACCAGTCTCCAGACCCATGCTCTAGAATTTTGTAGAAATGAAAATTTGGAAAGTGCTAGTAAAAATTCTCTAGCACCACAGGTCAAAAAACAGGTCACAAATTCAAATTTCAACTTGAAATTAATGGTTTTAGCCATAGCTAGAGGCAACCTCAATTTGATTATCACTGTGTATGGTATTTCTACTAAACTAAGTACAGAAACTTTTTTAAACTAATCACATTTGAAACAGTGTTACATTAAAAGAGCCATTTATCTCAAATAGAACACATTCCATTCACAGTCTTCCAGAATTACATTCTGCTCTGTCCATCAATTTCAATCACCACAACCTTTAGCAGTTTGTCTTCATGCTCCAAAATGACTACTGTGTCCTTTCTGGTTTGACATTCTTACCTCTAGTAGCACCTCTTTATTTCTGTCTGCCATCTCAGAGGTTTCTTTCTTCCCCAGAAGATAGTTCTGTAACAAAATAAATTTCCCTATTTCTTTAGGCATTCTGAAATCAAGCCAAATGGCATTTCTTGTTTACTTTTCTGTAGCAGTAAGAACAAAACTTTGTAGACTAATTGAAACTGTCAGACTACTAAATAATACATTGACGTAACTTATAACCATCTTTACCAGAAGTATCAATCACTCCGTACTCCTACCTAACAGACTCATAACAACAACATCCTGCTTTTCTAAGGATCAAACAGCTCTCTGTTACAATGCATCCAGAAATAAAAATACTGCGAACCTGTAAACACCACAATAAAAAAATATAAACAACCCCTGGAGATCTGTTACATACTGTCATTATTTCTGCATTCAAAGAAGCACACATAGAAGCAATGTACTTCTTTTCATCTTGGTCTGAGTTTTACTGAATAGAAATATTTATTTTCACAAAGAATTATAAATAAATACTAAATAAATAATAATAAATTCTAAACAAAATACTTGTCAACTTCTTAAAGGAACTTAACTATGCACAAGCACCGAATCTTATTTAATGAGTTTTTAACTCTTATTCAGTTTGGAAAAGACTGAGACAATGAAAAACATCTTCCCAATCCCTAGCTCTAATACTGGAAAAAACCCCAAATATTCACAAAGTTTCGCCAGTTCAATATTTTAAAGCAAGGAGAAATACTGGGTTTATACTGGTACCTCACTCTTGTGCCTACTATATGTACTGAGAGTAAACCTATAATCTACAAACTTTTAAAAAGAATGTATAGTTTTGCTGCTTCAGTGCAAAGCACTTGCATAAGACCTTGGTTGTTTCAGATCTTGCTGAAAAACAAATAAAATCAAGCAAACTGATGTCACATAGGACGAACACGCAAACTGATACCCAGTTTAAATCCAATACATTAGCATATAGATGCCATACAGATATAAAAATAATCTATAAACTCAAATGGGAATACATTAGGTAAGAGTTAAGACAGAGATCAAGTGATATTACAGACACGAGATCAAGTGAATTTTCAATACAAAGAAGCTCTTGGCTTCTTCCAAGAGCCACCTTCTGCTTTTCTGTTTCTTTTCCTCCACTCCCCTACAATACAGCAGTGCTGCCAGATACCAAGTCTGTAGCTACCATTTGAGAGAAGAGAGGTCTTTGAGGCCATTTGAGAGGAAGAGGAGCCTTTGATTTCTCAGCCAGGGAGCAGGAAACAGGTGAATATAGGCAGGGCCCGACTTCCACAGGAAGGGGCACACTGTCTCTTCTCTTGCCATTTGACCATGGAGTGGCTTTTCTCTTTGATTCTGTCTTCCCCTTCTTGCCAGCAATGCAAGAATGCACAGTGGAGAGACACCACTATTAGCAATATCTGTCAACACCTTTCTTGCATGTTTACATAATTGAGCAGCACTAAGTATGGTGTAAATCCCTGGAAACTGCCTGCCTTCATGTGCATTAAAACTGCTCATATATAAATTAGCTAACAGATTGCTTCAGCTCATGGCTGTCTCTTAAGGATTGACTTTGTGCCAACAACACTGTGGATGTACAGAGTGCTGAAGTGTAAAGTTGCCTGACATTTTAGCACATACACAAGTACCAAAATGAAAGTATGGAAATGAATGCTATCAAAAAAGTAAGAAACTGCCATCAGCCACACACACATTCAGTACAAACCTCAGGCTTACCTGTGGATTCTTGAAAAGTGCGTATTTCTCTATACGTTCCACGAACATTAGTTTGTTTTGACTGTCTCTTGTCCAGTTCAAGAGATTTTCAACTAAATTTTCATGATCTTCAAAGATCCTTTCTGCAACAATAATAAGTGAGGCAAATACATTGGAATCTGTTGCATTTTGTGACAGACATTAATCTGTAGTCATTTCTAAGAGACAAGGCATATATGCAGAGAAAATAGTGTTCAAGATCTACTACAGTGGGGAAGAAGTTTATGCTAAGAAAATAAAAGAACTTAGTCCACACTTCCAGACATGCTTGGTTTAATTCTTTTACATCCAGTCACTCAGAATGGACTTTCCGTTATCTTCAAGTTTATAGTTCCATCAACATATGAAATGTTTTAGTTTTTTTTTATCTGAGAGGGCCTACCATCCTGCAGGAACACTGCAGACACAAATGATAACATTTTAAAGTTTATGAGCACAAATAAGAAGGTTATCACATTTATGTGTTTTCTGGTCAACACAATTCCCAGAGGAATGGATCGGGCAGCTTTTTTGGCACAAAACTTCTTTCTACATCCCCAACGATCTCACTCATAAAGCATCAAAAAGTAGTGGGCAATGATCAGAAGGAAAACAAAATGCTTCTGAAATGCAGAATACCCATAGCTAGTACAGGTATTGCAAAGAAATCTGAAAACCGACACCTTCTACTTCCTATGATCTCTGTTGCTCAATAAATGATGTATTAACAACAGCCTCTGAGAACTTTGGTGCTCAGTCAAAGCTCTGAGCTTTGACTCTCCATTGAAAAAGTCACCACTAGTGCTAGAACTTCAGAATACTGAAAATAGACCAAAAAGAACAGCATAAAGAAAAAGAGGAAAATTTACTGAAATCTACTGAAAAAAAATCTACTGAAATGGTAGAAAATAGCTGAAAATACTCATTGCAAAATAAAGAAAAAGAAATCTTCGGGAAACCACTAGACCAACTTTCTCATCCTTTTAAACACACTGAAGTAGAATTTTCAGATCATTCTGAAACAAGTTCAATCATGAGCTTTATTACATGAATTAGCATTTACTACATTAATGAACAGGATGATGAACATTATGAAGACAAGTATTTAAATCATTATGAGAATGTAGACTACTGCTGCATCAATGAATAAGAATTAGAAATGCTTATAAGTATTACTTACCCATTTGCAATTCAGAGATGGTTTCCACTAATGACCAGTCTAAACTGTATCCACAATGTGATTTGTCCATCAGATTGTCTAATACTTGTCTCACTGTTTGCCTCTCATCCACCATCATTGTTTTTGAGCTGTCATCAGACATATGGACTCTGATCACCAACTGTTAAGCAGAAAATTAAGAAAACAAAAAGAAGGATTCATCTGCCACATTTCAAATAAAAATAAGGTTTCTAAGATCTTATTTATTCTTCTGAGGTTTTCTTACAGTAGCATAAAATTCAATGAAAACACTCCCTGAAAATGTAAGATGTCATAAATGATGGCTAGATATTTGTATCACAGACATTTAACAAGATACTGTTCTCCTTCAGCACAAGAAAGTAAATATAAAGGTGTTTCCAGCACAATGAGAAAGTGCTTCAGTTGAGTGTTAAGAAGGAAAAAAAATCCTTCCTGCCAAAGTGTCCTGATAATAAAGTGTCTTTCAGACAATATCTAGGCAGAACAAACATAGATGTAAGAGCTCTGCACAAGCTTACAAAGAATCAGAATTTTTCAGATGTGCAGTTTAAGCTTTCTGCCTGCTTCCTACAGTATTTTCTAAAAATGGTTATTATGTAAACAATATAGCAACATTAAACCTTACTTTTCTGGGAAATATGAAGTGGTAGTGTGAAAAAAAAAATCTGCTTTTAAAACACAATGGTTTTTCTTAGGCATTTTAAAGAGGTCACTGTCCAGTAACAAAAAAACAGCCATTTTTTAAACCAATCAGAAGACTAAAGAACAACAGATTTTTTTTGCCAATCATTATTTTTTCGATTTTTATATCTTGTTCAGCTGGAAAAGATAAAACCTACTAGCTGTAATACACTGGTACAATTGACTTGTTAATTTCCATCTTCCAGCCAAGACAGTTTTTCAGCTTTTGATCTACAAACAATTAATGAAAAAGGCATTTTAAGCTACTGAAAAACTTCTGTCATAAAATAAAAATGCTAAATTTTAAGGGCACTCTGTATTCTTTGAGAGTACATCGAGTAATGGCAGTAGACTTTCTCCATTTGGTAATCTGTCTTTAGTCTGGAATACTTCTCTTGCATTTAGCACTGGCAAATCCTGCTATGCATAATGGGAAAAGGCTTGTGAAGAAAAGGCTGTGAAGAAAACAGGCACAAATTTTAAATATGTGACTGCAGAATGTACAAGAACAATCTCAGGAGGCTGGACCCTCATTTCAGTTCTGGGTGGAAGTTGGTGAAATCTTCCCAATGAGCACTACCTGAAAAACAAGCTATTCCTTAAGAAAAACATCATGCTATTCCATATCTTAGGCTTCTCCTGATTAGGTGCAGTCTAGATGGGAAAGCACATTACCATGGAAGATTAGAACAGTACAGTGTTCTTATTTTATAAATGGCAACTTAAGGCTAATAGATACAAATGAAGCTTGCCTGCATTTTCCAGGTTAAAAAAAATCATAAAATAAGGGTCTTATAAATGGGTATAACTAACTCACCTTTTTCACTTGTGCTTCTTTAATCTTCTCTAATGCAACCCTAATCTTCTCAGCTTTCAGTTTAGCAGCCTGTTCCTCCTAGGGGAACAAAACACACAATTCCAGTTAACACAAATTTCAGTCAGGTTTCAGTGGCTTTGAAGTGACCATGCTTTAAAAAATGAACTAAAATGCTGATTTGCTCACCTATAAATGTCCAACTATTTCCTAGTGATGATGAAAACTATTACTTTTTAAAAAGTGTTCCTATATTTAGCGCTACAACTGCCATTAACTCCAAAGGAACATACTGGAGGAATATATTTTGTATAGACATTTCTCTGTTCTTCTGTTCTGTAAATATCCTTATGCTACCAAATACTTTAGCACATTATATATTTACAGTCATAGCTTGGGACAATACATATTCAACAAGAGTATGCAATGGAGTACAGCCAACAGACTTTTGGTTGATCAATGTGAAACACAAAGAGCATGCCAAGAGGTACCCGAATTTAACAGCACACAGAAAGAAGGGAAATATACCCTATAACTAGGATTCCATACCACATGCATCAGTTTCAAAGATTTTAAACTGTTAAATCCATTTGCAGTAAGAGGTTTGAACACTCACTTTGTCTTTACTAAATCCAAGTTGTCTTTCTCCTTGTTTTAAGTTTTTTAAGACACAAGGTGAATAAGCATTTTTTTGCTCTTCCATGTAGTAGATTTTTATTACAATTGGAAATGCATTGAAAATTTAGGTAGCTTAAATCTATTTGCTGATGCTAAAGAAAACTATGTCTTATTAAGACTAGCAATAAAGATTTTTAAATTCTGGAGATTATAGATATTCCTTTGAAATTGCATTTGAAATATGCAGCTAAAAAGCAACCATTGTTTCAAAAATTACATATGCAGTCTTCAGACTTTCAAAATCTTATACTGTGGATTTTCATTGTAATTAATATCTAAAACCATAATTACTCTAGCACAAACAAGTCTATTAAAATACACAAAAATCCCTTCCAAAATATTCAGTATCCTTAAAAAAGAATAATTCATATTTTTTCCAGAACCAAAGTACCACATCCCATCACAACATTCATCACACTATAAACATTTAGTTCTCTATTGCTTTCTTCTATGGATGTAATTCATAGTTTCTTTACCATGTGTTTAGATGGTTGCTTTTCTTGTAAAAGTCAAGATTCAGCTATTCTAAAATCCAGAGAATTTAAATTTTGGCTTCTCAATAAATTACTAATATTCACATCAACTGCTAAAGAACATTTCCTTGTTATTTACTGCACTCTCAGTAGCTTTTGGTCCTTCACATCTGTGACCATCCTGTGCATGAGAAAAAAACATCAGCTAGATAGACCAGTATACTGCCTTGAAACATAATTCTTTTCAATAAAATGAAGCAGTAAGTTGACACGAGCAGAAATAACATGAGCCTGAAACCTCATCTGGGCAGTGAATTACCCAGGAACATTGAGTTTAGGAGTCTACAAGGAACTATGGCTTTTTATTCACAATAGCAATGCTGTCCTACAGCTTAGAAAGGTTAAATCAGACTAGCGCTCTATGAAAAACAAACCATGCCATAATAACAAGAATCTTTTATTCTTCCTATTTCTTACCATTAACCATTTCAATGTGTAGAAATAAATTGTTACTAAAAAATGAGGCTTCACAGCACCAAGCCTGACAGAGCTCAAGAAGCGCTTGGACAATGCTCTTGGGCACATGGGGTGACTCTTGGGGACGTCCTAAGCAGGGCCAGAAGCTGGACTCAATGACCCTTGTGGGTCCCTTCCAATTGAGCTTACTCAGTGATTCTGTGAAAGACTTGTCAGTTTCTAAAAGTGATGTTATGCACCTGTTCATCATGAAATCAGCAAAAGCAAAACACTCATTTTATCATGTATTTGAAGAAACTGTAACTCATGGTTTTGAAAAGCTGCTCATTAACCCAATCAGCACAATTTTCAGCCCATTTCACTGTACACCAGCGCAAAGCACCAGGAGCACCTGCCTGCCACAGTGCACAGGCAGCAACACCAGGGCAAGCAACAAGCAGCTGTGACCTCTCACATACCTGTGCCAATACAGATAAAATATCTTTGGTGACCTCAAAGTTTATAATCCATCATTCCCTAAAATGCTTTGGAAAATAAATAAATATGTAGACCAAAGAAGATTTTAAGGACTTATTATTTTAATATGTACCAATTACTTTTAATTTCCTACTCAATTTAATGTGGGTCCAGAGATTAGGATTCCCTATACTTATTGGAGTTTAACATAATCAGTTTAAATTCAAAAACTCCAAAACAAAACAGAATTACAATTATCAAAATAAGAACTGGTTTCAATGGGCAAAAAATTATAAAAAGAGGTCTGAATTTACTAACCAGAAAACACAGCGAGGAAAAGAAATCAAGAATTCAAAATTTCAAAAAGCATAGAGTAGTCAAAGATTTTGAGCTATTTTGAGCAGTAATAGACTAAACTCAGGCCACTGCTGCATCACTACTGATGTGGCAAACAATGTTTCATGGGAGAAGGATGAAGAAATATGTATTTTGATTCCTTAATAAAATAATTTAATAACTCCCCAAAACTCACAACCATACATTCTGTTTCTCTCCTAATGGCCTGAGAAAACAGTCCCCTGCCCATCAAAGTCACCCAAGAACAGCACTTAGACACATACACAGGTCTCTCCTCCCCCTGTACATGAAAGCAACACTGTTTCTATCCAGGAGGAAGCAGGCGCCATCCATCAGCTTGTACGAATACACTAACAGCCCTCTCCACTGCACAGGGAGACAGGTGACAGACGGCAAAAATACCCGACTGCAACTGCAAACTATTTAAGCTGTTCAGTGCCACCAATCAACAAGGCCAGCACATCCAGTCCAACCACATCTACCTTAAGTATTTATTTCCCCTTTGCTAGCAAACACTGGGAACAGTGATGGAGTCGCTGAAGGATTACAAAGATGCAGGTAAATGGCAGCACTGCTGCGCAGGCGGTACAGACAAAGTCGATCCCTGCTATGGCCACACAGCTGCATCCCCTGCACAGCCTCACCGCTCACAGAGCACTCACAGCACTGCTGGCACACAGCTCCATCACACACCCATCTGGAGAACTGACACAGCAGGCAAGATTCAGCAGAACCCACTCTCCCTGCTTACGCCGCCTTACAGGCACAGGCAACACACCGAGGAGATACACACACACACTTTATAAAAACACAAAACATAAAGGAAAGTCATTTCCAACTCTGGCAGGAAAAGGATATTCTCTCATAGAAGCAATATGCATCACTGTCAAATTGTAACAAGTTCCTCACTTAACAGGACTATTCTGGGACTATTGTTACATTTGTATTTTAAAACTTTGAGCTAAGACTACTTTTGGTTATGGAAAACATTGCAACTGATTTAAAGAATACTTGGCAACATACTAACGTATAGAACCCGTTAATCCAAAATATTCAAACATATCATGAACCAAAATGAAAAATACATATGTCTGCAGTGCAATGGTCTTAAATTAATGATGATCTTCTTCTGGCATCTATATACCAGAACTAAGTTTTGAATACCTTTAGCCTACAGTGAAATATCAGAAAGAATAACACAAAAAAATATAAAGTTAAGATTTCTGTAATAAAATTACAAACGCTGTTTCCTTGTCTAGTTTCCAATTAAATATGCAGTTACAAGATATTCCAGCTGTGTTTTAGCAATAAAGATGTGCAAGATGCGTGCAATGGTGGGCTGACCTTGCTCAAAAAATGTTGCGGCTCACATTTCTAGGTTGGGGTTTTATTTTTTCTTCCATTTTACTTTTTTTTTAAAGTGTTATTAACTAATCTAATTTACAGAGATAACAAATGGAATGGAAACAGAAGGGGGGGGGGCATCACTTAACAAAGGTACTTAGAAAAGCCAGTAATCAAATGGTAAGAGGTAAGTAACCATCCACATTTTATTTAAGTTAGCAAGGTAGATACACAAACTACAAAATGCATAAAACTAAGAAATTTCTTCTCTGTTTAATATTTGCTTTTTTTCTCTGAATTTTTCTCTGAATGCATATAAGAAGTTAACTAAATACACAAGTAGTATTGACTTCTGAAGGATTAAGAACAGACATCTACTGTTTATTTTCCCAACTACAGTCCAGCCTGTTTTGCAAGGACTCTCCTTCTTGCAGAGCTTGTACTCAAACAGAGGTTCCTGCTACCAGAGAACAGCATATTAACATCTCCACTTGTACCTAATTACCCAAAACTTCAAGTCACTTTTATTAGCCTCATGTTTAATGTATATCAGTCTGAACATGAATGCCATTAATGAAGTTTTTCTGTTGATTGCTTTAATTTATTATTAAAAAGAACACTAGAACAAGAGTGTATGTGATCAGCACTAAAACCAAAGATGTGAATATTAAGAGCAGTTCTTCTCTATTTCTTGATGAACTCATTAGGACAAGCAGAATACTCCTACCCTAAAAATGAGCTGCAATCATAGCATGGTCCATATATAAACAGTGAACTTTGTTTACAGTAGTATTTCATGGTCATTTTCAAAACATATGTTTATTACATTTCTTTTCATAATAACTCTAAATAACCTCTACCTGGGTAAAGCAGAAAGGGAAGCAAGACATGAGTATCTGAAAGCTCAATAAATGTGCAAGTGCATTCACCCTGGTGAAGGGTTCATCCTCCCTAATGTATTTCCTCCTCCTTCCTTCCCAGTTTAGTACAGACGTTTCTATACCTCTGGAATATTCCTGACATTGTCACCATATTGCACTATGCTACCAAATACGGAAATGGCTGTGAAGTGGTACTATTGTTTTAGGGGCTGTGTCTGAGAATTATTCACCTGAAAAGGTCTCAGATATTAGAATGCTACTACACTTGGGTAGTGCCATATTTTTCCTTTGTTCTACTTCTACAATTCACAAACTTTTTGCTATTAGAAGCCTATCTAAAACACAGAAGATGGCTTCTGAATGGAAATTGGAAAGCAGCAGTTACATTTTAAATGTATCTCAAAGTCACACTGGCTCTTGTCACAATTTCCCACAGACAGGATCTTCTTCCTCACAGTCTGTAAGGGCAAAGAAGGCCCCAGATCACTAAGGAAGATGCTGAAAAGTCCTGCATCTGGTATTGACCTCTCAGGTGCACCACTGGTTAATGCCTCCAAACAGACTTGCGCCCTTTTGAGGCTATCCTTCAAGGCATGGCAGAACAGAACCTTAACCAGCAGAGATGTGCATTCCGCTGTCTAGACTTGACAATGCTGGTGGCTTTGATGAAAAATAAAAAATCCAAAGGAATTTCACTGGTTCTTCATGCCTTGAAGCAACCATCTGCACTACATTATCACCCACCTGCCTCTGAATGGACCTGTCAGTAATGGCTCTAGGCCAGGCTTCTAACCAGGGCAAACAGTTATACAAGAACCAGTACTGGGACCTGGGACCAGGAGAAAAAAAGCGAAGAGGAGGGGAAGAAACCCAAACAAACCAGGCAGAAGAACAGGCACTAGAAACCACAGTAAGGTAGTCTGAGAGAGGAAAGATGACTACAATGTAACAGAGGAGACATTACAACTAGCTGGCAAGGAGTTTTTGTTGGACAAAAAGCTCAAGGGATACGGGAACAGGGCAGAAAGATTTCAGAACATTGGCTGATTATCTAACAATGCAACTACAACAGATTAATATAAATAATATATAAATTATATTTTATTATAATGAAAAAGTATATAATATTTTCACCATAATAACTAAGATAAAAGGTGAAATTAAATTTACATATGACATAACAGCTGACTCAGAAAGCTTTTAGACTGTCCTTACATTCTTTGCACATTAGAAATCAATTGCTGTATTTTTAAACTGCATTAAAAAAAAAATCTCAAACAGATGCTTAATTCAAGGAGCACATCTGAATCAGAGTGGCTTGAGATACAGGAAGCCATCACATCTGATTTAATCAAAAAGTCTGATGGAATGACCAAAATCTACAAAGCAAGGGAATGAACATCCATAAGAAGAATTTTTGTCTTTCAGGTCAACAAGAAAAGAAAAATTACATACATCCTATTAGGGAAGAAAAGGTACAACATGGTTCCTTTCCCTTCAGATGCTGACACACTATTTGAATCATTACTTCATTTAATCACTATCATGTGTCTTCCTGAATGTAGTTGCAGCTTCACATGCATCAGAACAGTAAAGAAATGCTCACTTCAAAATCCAGCGTATTACATTTCTATTTTCAAGGGCAAAACTAAGATGTATTTGAGCCCTGAATATTCTCTCAAAATTATTTGCATGTACTCTAATTTCACAGTACTAAGCTTAGTTTTGAATATTCATTATAGGGAAACAAGCTTGCAGATTTGACAAAAAAGCTACATTGCTTTATTTTCAATATTCAATAACTTACAGTACACATATGCTTTCACTTCTTTCAGTTTTCAAGCAAAGGTTTGAATGCTGTGTGAACAGTAACATCTGGAATTAGATATAAAAACGAAGGGCTCGCCAAAACAAATACATCACTTTCTGTGCTGAGATCTGCCCTATGCTGCGACAGGAACTGGACGTGTGCATGGCTGTGATGCAGAAGGAATCTGCATGGCTAGAATTTTTAGAATTATTTATATCAACAGAGGACCAAAATGGTTTGTTCTAGTCTCAATATAAGATGCAGACATATCAGAGAAGGGGAAGAAACAGAAACAGGTAAAGACAGTAAGAAACAGTTGACACACCAGGGACACCAGCACAGACCTGCAATATGATCCTACAGTCAAATGATCTAACACCTTGGTAGAAGGAAATGCCCCATTTCTTGGGAATGCTTCACTCACAGAGAGGCTCATCCAATGTTACAACAAGCTGAAGAGATCTAAGCAGCAAAGTGGACTTCCATTTCGTTGTTTTGCTAAAGGTATTTCTGCTTGCAGGAGGTCGGAAGAGAACCAGTAAATTCCATGCCTGGCCTGTGCGCTCAGGAGTCAGAAGTAGAAGGCACAGCTGTACTGAAACAGTCACAAGCTGACCAACATTACCCTCATGAAATCAGAAGGCTCACCTAAAGCACCTGAATCAGAGAGCTATGAAGCCTAATTAACCAACACAAAGAGTTATAAATACAAACATTTAACTTTGGAGCGTATTAGACTACCTGATAGGAGCTACTTCATGATCATATGACACAAAGGGATCATTTAATGCACTTTTTAAAATTAAGTTCCTGTATGGCAACATCCCACATATAAACAACCAGAAGGGAGGATCTGCAGACACATGAAGATGAAAGAAAATTGTGGTTTCTTTGTGCCACAGCTGTTGTTAATCTATTTGCAATCAAGCCAATTGCTGTTTTGGTGGCTGTTTGCTTTGTTGGGCAGTGCAATGGGGTGAAGAGCTATTGGGGTCAAGGCAGAGGTATGGACTTAAAATTTAAGCAAAACAATCACAAGAGCAGAAGATTACTTGCTTTTGGCTGTTTGTATTCCTCTGCAAGACAGCCTGAAAATCTCTTGTCAAGAAGAATATTAAGATATTAAAAAAAAAAAAAAAGCAGTAAACCAGTTCTAAACTTTTTAAGCCTACTTATGCCCAGTGAACATTATCCTTATTGTCTTGAGCAGTTCTAAACTTTTATTGCTAAATACAGCCTACTTATGCCCAGTGAACATTATCCTTATTGTCTTGAGGTCACCAAATTTCATTTTGTTACTTCAGGCTTGCTTGAGGTCTTTCCAGTAGAATGTCTGTGAATCAAAAAAACCCCACACAGATATAGTTTTGAAGTATGTATTAGCATCAGCAACATCTGACACCTCAGCTACATGAAGCTGCTTGTCCTTCATCCCAGCCTGTATTTTCACCAGAGATTTATAGCTTGCTCCATCCCTTGCCCTCTGGTTTCAAAAGGAAATACATATAAAAGATGTAATTCTTAACAAATTGAATGACAATTTGTGATCTCTTAGTAGATTAGTGACCTTCCTGTGAAGAAAATTAATTTATAATCAAGACTTGTACATAATTGGCTCATTAGACCACTGTCTTACTACGATATTCTCCCCACATTATATTAAGTCAACATTCAACACATTATAAAAAATATCTCATTACTTACTAGTTTGTCTTCAATACAGCAAGAGAACTTATTTTAAGGCTACTAATGGCTTTCAAAACTACTAAACACTCCCATGTTTTTCACTAGGATCTTTTCTTTTTTTAAACTAGTGAATGGCAATAGGAACAAAAGAACTTCCAGCTCATTGCGTTTCCTTTTCAGCTAAGGCATTTTACCTGCTAATATGGCTATTAAGTATTTGTCAAGAACTTGAACACTTTGATAAATCTGCAGAAACAAACAATACAATTCAGTCTTTAAAAGTGTCTTGGATAATCAGGAAAATCATGTAAGTAAATGTGCAGAAGTTCCTGGAAAGGGCAGGGGTGGAGAAGCATAGCACACACCAAAAGCATTCTTTCTACAAAGAAATAGTCACATACACTAGAAAGAAGCATCATCACCTTGGTCAGCAAATGAGAAGGCTTTCCTGCAATGTTTCTCAGAAGAAGGGAGGTTTCCCTGTCCAAGTAGGAGTGCTTGTGCAGAAAGAAAGAGAAAGAACATAAGTCAGAGGAAGTCAGTATGGTAATTTTATGGTGTCTTGATTACAGAAGATAAAGCAGAGTTTAAAAGGAAAAAAACCTACATCATCATTTTTTCCCCTCCCATAAAAACATGAACATTCCCATATACTATGAGCCTGATACACTGATGTAAAAGCAATTGTGCTTTTACACAAGACACTAATAAAAACCACTGTTTTAATCTTCTCCTGTATAAAATGTCACACAATAAAATTAAGAAAACTTTTGCTTACCTGCCACTGGTTTCCTTTCTGCAAGAGAAAACTTATTTATAAAGACATTTAGAACTGTAAAAGTAAGAAAATACACTCTTACAATGCTTTTCAGAATCCTGTCCAGTCTCCTAAAACTAAACATTCTACTTTCACTACACAAACATAGAGCCACTATAAACGGGTCATCTGGGAGACATCCTAGTATTATGCTTTCTATATGGGTTCCTGTTTCATTCTCAAAGAAAAAAGATATTATCACGACAATAAACCAACCTAACTTAAAATTCATGTCCTTTTTTTTAAAATGTAAATGACTTAAGTTCTCTTGTATAGTCCAAATTATAAAATTACAATTCCCTGTGCTTCTCTTGGAAAGTTCAATTAGCAGAAAATATATTTTCATCTGTTTTCAAAATGGGAAGCAAAATCAGTAAAGGGAAAGCAGCCAGTAGAGAAAGACAGAAATCAGTTAATGACAGATCCCAGAGTGATTATCTTCTCCAGCACCTGCTACAAGCAACAAAACCATCATCATAGGCAGCAGCTTGCAGAACCACAGTCTAGTCTGCTAAGGAAATTAGACTAGTACTGTGGCACTTAACAAGAGCATTTAAACAACTTAAAAGAGCATGAAGTAAATCTCCTGTGTGCCACCACCATACTGCATGTTTTGTCCCATGTGGTTACAATTGTCTCAGCCTTATTTGTTTCCATGCTATACATGACAACTATACATGCCTACTATACTTTTGTTTAGTTATTAGCAATACAGAATCCCACCTCTTCTTCAGTGCCACAATAAGGTATAGACTGAAAAAAATGAAGAGCCCATGCCTACAACTTCCTGCAAGGCAGTATCAAATAGTTTGGAGAATACAGTTCCTGCAGGGAGACTTTACCTGATGTGATTGCTGCATGGTGGGATGAGCAATTAAGGATGTCAAGGAGGCTTTCAAAGTTACACCTCAGGGAAGACTCTACACAGCATTCGAAGTTAAACCCAGGCTCCGGCCAAAGCTCCACCTGGGTATTTAGTCACTAATATAGACACAGGTTATGTTACAGAGTAAATTATTTTTCTGCTTGCATATTAATTACTGTCTGTATTTACATCATATGTTTTAGACACACAGCAGTGCTGCCTAGCTCAAGCCACACTACTGAGGGTTTGTAATACCTGGTATTCACAGTCATACAGAATTGTATCCTTTCTTACACAGAGGCTCTAACTTCCTACAGTCAGTTTAGGATGGTCTCATTACAACATACTGCTACACAACTTGCAGAATAAAATGGGTTGGCTCAGTCCAAACCCCAAAAGTATACATAAAAATCCAGTGACAAGCTCAAGGAAATTTTTTTAAGAGTTTCTTCATGGAGCTCTTGCCAGTCATCATGGACTGATTAATATGGATCACTTTCTTGGTGAATGGAGCACTGCAGTAGAAGAACACTACAAGGTACACTTGCAGCCTCTTCCTCAAGAGTTTAGTCACCTTCTGTCTTAGCCTGTAAGTCAACAATAGTGTCAGGATAAATACAGGATATTGAATCTCTCCTTAAAGGAAATACTACTTGCTGGAGAATATTTCTCCTACAGGGAAGGTCAAGGTAGTTCAATTAACCTTCTTCCAGTCTTAATCATCTCGGCTGCTGCTATCTTGTATTTAACTACATTATCTCCACTAAGGAAATTCTAACCAAAAATGGAAATGTCATATCCTTCTTACAACATAATAGCCACTTGAAACTTTGATAGTGATATTTTACGGGAATAGGGGTTGGCCAGTAAAATGTGGAACACCAATGTCATGACAACTGCCTATGTGAATTGGAGCTGCAGAGCTCACATGCCTAGAAACAGGAAGGCAACAGCTCTCTTCCAGACCGTTTTTTGTGCATGGCTTCTTCCTACCCTACAACAAATTCTGCAATACTGCACATACCCAAAAGTTAGAATCAGCAGAAGTAGCAAAGCAACAGGAAACCCTAAGTTGTAGAAATTATAGCTCAGCTAAACAGTAACTACATGCACATAAAAATTTAAAAATATTTGGCATGCACAAACTAGTAGATAACAAATTAAATTCCATTTTAGAACAATGTGTTACTTTCACAATCAAATTTGAAAGCATTTAGTCTATTTCAAAGAAAGACTTCAGCTCAAACATCAAGCTTTGAGGCAAACAGATGTTGCTCCTAGTATATTCCATTGTTTGGGGTATTATTTTTTTTTTGTTAGTACAGTCACAATGGTTCACACAGATGATCTAAATACCCCACTCCTCTACTTAAGGACTTGAAATACATACTAAAGCCCCAACAATATAAATGCCTGATCTTGCCAAACAAATCAACCTACTTTTCTGCCCCAGGTACTCCACTAGACTAAAAAGAAGAGCAACCAAATCCAGGAAAACCATAGCATTAATTACTCCTAGGGAGACATTTCTAGTCTTTCACCATGAAAAGCATCTGTCCTTCCACCTGCTCCTACCACAACAATGAGAACTCAAGCTCTAGCAACACAGTTCTCTCTCCCTCAGTGCCTCGCCTTAGATTCACCTAGGACATAAAACCAATTCCAATTCCATAAACGAGTATGTGTCCCTCCCACTCCTGCAATGCCATGCATTTTTCTATCCTGCTGTGGTAAGCTGACTGCTTCCCCAGTACAAGCCATCATTTCTTATAAGGGCTATTTTCAGATTAAAGGTTTTTTCCAATTAAATGTGCTTGGAATTAAATGTGGCTGGAACATAAAAGTAGTCTGAAACACAATGGAAGCATCAAAATTGACAACAGCTTCAGAGAAGACAATACCATGCAGTCCTTTATACTAAGCATGAAATTGTAGAAGAAGCAGACTGTAACAGTGCTGGAATGAGTATTTAATTCCTGCAGTCACTAAAATACTCAGTGCAGCTAATTCAACATGAATAACACCAAGTCAAAACAAGTGATGCCTAATTTACCAAATTCTTTGAAAGATCACATATCTCTTTCATCACTCAGGGGGGCAAACACAAAAAGTATACAACATTTGCACAGTCTAAAGCTATCTACAGTTCTTTACTTCTACTAGATTTTGGGTTGTATTTTTTATGTGTAGTATAGCTTTCTTGAAATCCAGCCATTAGTAATAGCCATACCTTGTTATAAGGTTTTGTATAAAATTATTACTGCAAATGCAGTAAAAATGAAAAAGCTTGTTAAAACTTATTTCCATTATACATACATAAAACCATTCACTTAACAGACACTAGCAATTGGTAAAATCTTCTATTGAAAGGGATCTATTTGTCACTAGAAGAATTTTAAAACCAATGCTTTTACTTTGATATTTTACATGATTATTAGGGAGCCAGACTCCACTCAGGATTCCCAGTTAATCCAACATCACTACAACTCAGGCAGAACTCAAAATATTATAGGTCCAGTGAGCATCCAGGAAGGAAAAAGTGACAGGGCTTTATGAGGACTCTTAAAAGGCAAAATGAAGTTTCCTTTCATCACAAGAAATCTCTCAGTATAAATCCTGCTACCAGACTTCACACCAGGAAGCTGGGACGGGCAGTAGCACTGTAGCCCAAAACTCACTCAGATTGTTTCTTGATATAATGTTCAAAAAGTACTCTTCTTTCTCTAGAACAATCAAACATGAAGCCTACCATCAGGTACCAAGTATGTTTACAACTTTTCTATGCCAAAATCACTTCTTTTGGAGACAACTTAAACACAATGCATAGGAAGCTATTCACTTCTGGTTTAGTCCTTCCTCATAACATGGACCACGCTTCAAACTAAGTTGCAGGAACTCAACCTAGTTTAAAAACCTGAACAGTGAAAAATAATGAAAGAAAACTCATCAAAGCCAGGAAAACCATTTTATACCATGTAGAAGCAGCCAATGATGAATGTTTTGAACTGTGTCATATTTTAATTTCTAGCAGCAATTATTCCAAGTCACACTGAAAACCATGGACGTTTACTAATAAAAAAATCCTCAAAATACTGAAAAAAATGCAGATTGGAAAACTAACTTTCTACAAAGTTAAATGTATACCCTTCTCAACAGATGCCAAAAATACCCATGCACAAAAATACTTTGTGCAAAAACAATTTTACTTTAAAAATTTCAGATATGATGATTAAAATATCTGAAGTAACAAAACCAAATAAATAAGGCTACTAATGTCTCTGAACAAACTGCAGCTGCTGAGGATAATCAACAACATAGAAAACTAGATTTAAGCAAAATTAGCATTAACACTTAAGAGCTCTAGATGCTGTTAGGTCGAAAAAATTAATTGTGTTCATGTGCAGTTCATTCAGCAAAGACAGCTAGCCTTGATGTTTATAAGAACACAGACTAAAATCTTGTTCCAAATTATGTTATCGACATCAAAGATTTCCTATATCCTTTCTTTGAAGACAGAAATGTAACATCCACCTTCAGATCTAAATACCAGATGTTCATGGACCAGCTGTTGAAAATTGCCTTTCAGTGTTTTCAGGAAACTCAACACAGTACTTAAATACACAGCAGCTGCTTATGCGAGATAGCTTCTTCAATACTGAAATATTTTTATACACATCACCAATCAAACCTACCAAGCATGTTTGCTAAACATGACAGAACAGATGGGCTATCAAGAAAATAAAAATACCTTTCAGATTTTCAGAATATCATTTGTTGCACTAAACTAAACAACCAGTAATGCTCTACATGGCCAA